TCCATGTGAAGCCTCCACGGAATGTTTTGTCAGAGCTGCCGCCAGTCTAGGCGCCTCTGGGATTCAAGGTTACCTGGAATAGCTTAAAGCCAGAAAATCTCCAGAGCCTGTGTGTGCTTTTTCGTGAGCATCCACAATCAATCATTATCAACTCAGTGTGTCCACTAGTGTCACTGCATTCTCTCTAATCACCATGACTTTGTTTCAAATTGTCTTTGCCCAGGTCCTTTTGGAAGATGAGAGGCAACATACTCAGAGGCTGAACAGTTAATTATTATATTTTATATTATATATTGCAATTAATAATATTTGGTGTATTGTATCAAATAATACAACCGATACAAACATACAACATGGAAGCCCTACCGATCCAAACCCTCACCGATCCGTGGTATGGAATTGTTTTGATGAATTATGTTTTTTCCTATGCATGCCTATATAATGAATGAAGTGCTGTTGGAGTTGCATGTGGCTGGTTGAAGCAGCATCGCCAAGGCCATGGACTGCCCACGACTTGATGACTTTGAGGTGCATGAATCTTGGTTGAGTGGTCTGAACTGATTCACTGGCTGAATGTTATGCTTGGATTAGCATATAATCAATTTAAAGAAATGCATGCGCTAGTCCATTGTGCATTTACACAGTTGACTCTGTTGGCTTGGCCAGGTCTTGGGAAGGCATCCATCGTTGAAAGTGCTGCCCTCAGTCTGAGAGGCAAAAGATGTGTGACTGATGTCATGCACCTGAATGTCTGCTGCAACTGCTGTATTTGCAGCTGAAAGTGTGTCATGCACCTGACTGTCTGCTGTATTTGCACCTGAATATTGTTTTCTGTATCTGCTGCTGTTGTCAGCCCCAATCAGAAGACAGCTGACCAATGGACTAGCATGCATTTCGTTAAATTGATTATATGCTAATGCATTCCAGTATTGTTTGCAATGTTCTTGATGAACTTGACATGATCAAAAACTGTACTTGACTTCAAAGTGAGTAAAAGTGAATCACTGGTGAATTACGTCTCAGTCAGTGATTGGCTGTTTCATCCCATGTCGGTTGCGGCCGAGTCTGCTGTTGTCTTGGGTGGCTGTGCTGTGATGTCGTCTGATGTAAAGCAGATGCTTCCCTATGCTGACTACCCTCCAATTGACAGTAGCAAGACTCTGGTGAGGATCTCAAAGCGGCAGAGAGTTGTCAAGCAGTTGGTGATGCGATGTGTGTCCAACAACATTCCCATGCCAGACATTCTGGCCTACCTTGTCGTGGCTGTGAGAGACTGGGAAAGAGCTTCGATGAGCAAGAGAACATTTGAGAGGCTGATGCTGGACAGTCGCCGTGCCATTAAGGAGCAACTGGGAATGGGAGACTTCGAGGTGAACAACGATGCCGTGCCTGATCAGCCAGTGCCTGTTTTGTCCAGAGAATCTGAGTCTGGATAAATTCGGCTTCGCATGCTCATGTGAGGGTGCATGCTGTTTTAGTAATTAAGTGCAAGAATGAGAGACAGAGAACTCTTCTGACTTGTCTAGTCTAGAGTCTAGTGTCTGTATGTTTATTGTCGCTGTGTTAATAAGATTGATCAGCACAAAGGCAAGTAGATGGAAAAAGGCCAGCCAATGCATGCCAATTCACAGGAAAGGGAAGAACATTGACAAATGTTTTGCAAATGAAAGTTGCTTGGAATCCAAAGAAAAAACCTTGAAACACATAAAAAAAACAAAAAATAAAAATAAAAATAAAAAAATCAAAAATATAAAAAAAAAACTCAAGTCTTTAAATTTACTATTGCTCACAATCCTCAAAAAAAATATCAGAAAATTTCAAAAAAATCTCAAGCCTTTAAATTTACTATTGCTAGGAAGCACCCCAAAAAGCTCAAAAAAATTCAAAAACTCTCAAAAAATCTCAAAAAATCTCAAGCCTTTAAATTTACTATTGCTAGGAAGCACCCCAAAAAGCTCAAAAAATCTCAAAAGATCTCAAAAAATCTCAAAAAATTTCAAAAAATCTCAAAAAATCTCAAACCTTTAAATTTACTATTGAAGGAAACCCCCCACAAAGCTCAAAAAATCTCAAACAATCTCAAAAAAAATCAAAAACACATGAAAAACAAATGAAAACATGTCTTGCTGATGCAGAAAACATGTTTCACTCAGTGTTGTAGTCTTGTGTAGCAGTCACTGGTGGCTTTGTGAGCATTGATTATCTTGTGAAATTCATGATCTTGCTGATATATTTGCTTGTTCTCTCACAGTTTCACTCATTGATTGTCTTGTGTAGCAGTCGCTTGATTTTGCCTTATGATTTTGTTGATTGCCTTGTGAAAAGCATGTAACATATATATATAATATATATATAAATATTTGCTGCAGTCGTTTGTCCTCTCACTGTCTCACTCTCTTGTCTGGTGTACCGCCTTCGAACTGTTTTGTTTGCAATGGTCGCCGTGTCCACCTTGAGAGCCAACAAGAAAGCCCGTGGAGCCAACCCAATGATGATGCTTCCACACATGATGCCGGGAATGATGAATGGCATGATGCCAGGAATGATGGGAGGGATGATGATGCCTCCGATGACGATGCCACACCATGGTGCCGAGGAATCAGATGAAGAGGAACAGGCTGTGCCACCTCTGGCAAAGGCTGCGCCTGCTGCAGTGTCTGGTGTCGGGTCGTCATCTGTTGTATCGTCGTCTGCTGCAATGTCTGCTGTAGTGGAGAATGACCCCACTGCCACTGCAGCCTTGGCAGCTCCCCAGGACTCAGGCCTCATCAGCAGGTCTGTGACCTATGTCCGGCAATTGCCCCGCAACCGCCTGGGGGAGACTTTGGAGACGCTTTCGGGGGCAGAGCTTGATGCGGCGGTCACGGCTGAGCTCACACAGGATGGCTTGCTGATGTTGCTTTGGCTCTTCTGCCGCATAAAGCCGTGTGTAAAAATCAGTGACCTCCGTTTCTTGGCAGAGTGGAGTTCAACTTTGTTGAGTTTTTGACTTGACAGTGTGAGTGTTAGAGCTGATTTATTTCCATGACTACAGCAGACATGATTCAGAATCAGCAACTTCGTCGTTAGTTAAAGTGTTGTGGGAAATCTAGATTGTGTTAGGTCAGAGTGTTAGTGATTGTGTTTGCTCTCACTCACTGTTGCTTATTTATTAGTGTATGTCAAGTCATCCAATGATGATTAATTGCCTCTGTTGTGTGAGTCAGCCTGCTGAGGTGTGACTACCTACAAAGAGTTCACTCAAAGGATGGTGTCCTCTCACCGCAGGATCAAGGATGCGGTCACTGCTGAAGTCTTCCAGGCCCAGGTGACCAACCGCTTTGGACTTGTTCTCACTGATGAGACTTTGCAGTCCATCGCTGGCGATATGGGATGGTCTGACTCCTGGTTCAACACGAGCAAGAGACGTCCAAAAGCTCCACCTCCCAAGTCTGGCGATTTGGCAGCCATGTTTGCAGGATCTGGCGCCTCTCCAATGCCAAGTCCTTTGATGAACCCTTTGATGCCACCTCCGCTGGGACCCACCATGATGACACCGCCTCCTCGTGCTTCGATCAGCCCGAAGTCTGGCTCTCCTGTTTCTTGGAGTTGGTTTTGGAATACTATTTAGCTCTTTTGTTGTTAGTTTTGTTGTTGGTGTTTGGATTGTCAATGGTTTTAGTTTTGTTGCATCATGAATTGAATCTGACCATGTGACAATGTGAATCAATGATGCTGGTTGGACCCAGGTCGGTTTGATGTCGTCTGGTGTCTCCAATCCTGTGGCCAAGACTGCCCCTGTGCCACCGCCTCCTCGGCCGATCTTGTCTCCTGAAGGACAAATCCTTCCGACTCCTGCTGCAAAGGCTGCTGCAGCTGCAATGCCATCACAGCCAGAAGCAGGTGTGCTGTGTGTGATTTGCCAGTCGGTGATGGGGCATGATGAGGTTCGTGAGGCACTTTGGTGTACGCACACATTTCACCAGCAGTGCTTGAGCGAGTGGCGGGTGTGTGCGAATAAGGGCCCAAATGATTGCCCTCACCGCTGTCGCCCAGTGAACGTGGAGGCTCCTGACCCGATGAGCCTTGATAAACAGCTGAATAGTTTTTTATATATTTATATGGGGTTTACTCTGGATGTTTGATTCATCTTCAAGCTGCACATGTTTTTGAGTATTCAGAGACATACAAAAGACATCATTGACATACAGAAGACTTCTCACGATTCATGTGTTTGCCAAATCTTGACTTTTGACTTGACTTGTGCCAGACATTGCAAAGTGTTTTGACTTCAATCAGGAATGGTGATGACGCTCTGCCAGAGCAAGGTGATCTTCCTGAGCCGGTCGAGTCTGCTGTACTGGCAGCTGCAGAAGAAGAGGTGGCCCAGAACACCTTTGAGTGAGTGCGCCCATGCCGTCTGTCTCAAGGTGACAGGAGTGTGCCTGAAGTTTAGCTCGTTTTGGGGAGTAGCTGAAGGGATGGCTTAGTAGCACCTGTGTGAAGATGAGCCAGCATGGCCTTGCTGTGTGAGGTTTTTGGAAATGTGACAGTTTATCAAATTAATTAGTGAGACGATTGTCAAGTGGTTCGATCGTCTTTTGTCTTCAGTGGAAATGCCCTGCCTGTGTGTCTGATGTCCTGTCTAATGTCAGTGGTGAGGATTGATTGCCTCATTACTGTGCTAGAGCAGGGACTTTGGATGAGACGAAAAAGACATTTGTGGCCAATCGTTTGCGGCAGTGAATTTACCAACAGCTCAGCTCGTTCAAGGATGCTGCTGCAGAGTAGTTTCTCTTGTGGTTTCAGTGATGTGTCAGTCCTATGTGGTGTTTGCTGAATTTTGGATCTAGCATCGTCGTCGTCGTCTTTTGTATATACTTACCAACAGAGGATGTCGCATCAGAGAATGTCAATGTCAGATTTTGTTTGGAAGTCACTGATGGAGGTTCCAGAATGTGTCAAATTCAAGACATGTTTTTGTTTGTTTCCAACATCAATCATCCTTTTCTGGCTAAGCCATGGCGGATGAAGATGCTGGCATCAGATTGCCTGCCACAGCTCCGGCTTACTACTTTTCAGAGTTGGCAGAAATGCTCCCAACTGCTGTTGCATATGCACACGACGGGGAGTTCTATTGGAGCCTTGGTCACTTACATGACAACCTATGTGGGCTACTTCCAGACGAACTTCAGTTGGAACCCTTCCCGAAATTCTGTCAGATTATTGGGAAGAAGCTGAATGACAGTGAAGTTGTCAGACATCTTGGAGTTTCCATGTACATGAAACCTGGCATTGACAGGCTGGGGAACAGGGGTCAGTCAAACTGTTTTTTTTTTTGTGTGTTGTTTTTTTGTCAATTCAAACACTGCCAGCCGTATGATATAATAATGATGTCCTTTGAATCAGGTTGGGTGCAAATATGCTGGATGCAAGTGCAGTTTCCTCTGGAGGACTTGTCCACAGCCTTGTCAATATGGCAGAAAATTCCAGGATAGACGATAGATCTGCAATCGCTGTTACCTTCTTGAAGAAGATTGCATTGAACAGTCTTCCAGTGCTGCATCAAGGTGGTGGACACTGCTACATGGAGGATGGTTCCCGGCTGACATTCGATGCGTCTGGTGTATGCAATGTCTATGAGTGCCTCCAATGTCATAAGTCCATGAAGGATGCAATGGATTTGGCCTGGGGTGACATGAAGGAGGACAACAGACTGAGGACTCCTTTTCGTCAGGCAACCATGATAGACGTTGTGTTGTTCTTGGCAACTGTGCGACGTTTCAGGAGACATCTTAAAAAGAAGGCCTGGTCAGCTGGGATGACTCAGGTGTGGAGCCAGGCATTGTGGGCTGTGATCAAGTTTTTGGCAGCGTCTGTCTCTCTTCATTCCCGTCACCTTCAACAAACTGTGGATGGCATTGAAAACCGTCTCATTCCATCCCGCCGGAAACGCCTTGCAAGTCGCGACCCTCGATTTCACTTTTTGAAGAATATTTTGTTGTTTTGTTTGATTGTGTTTTGTCGTTTCCCCTCTTGAATGCAAAAACTGGGCTTTCAGCTCCTGTCAGACAACTGACTGACTGAGGACCAACAACAAGATGCTGATCCGATCATGGATCAAGAAGGTGGTGATGAAAATGAACAAGGTCCCAAGCCGAGGAAGGGCAGAACCCAGATAGATCTGAACTTTATCTGGAAGCTTTACAATGATTCAGTGGAGATCAATGGGCTAAGCCTGTCCATGCTGGTGAGATCGAGACAAAATGATGCAGAGGGTGGTGCTTGCCAAAATACATCAAGCCATTGGCTGAAGAAGATCATGCGAATGTACAGCCGACGTGCCACTCTGGGCTTCAAAGATGTCCGGCACCTGAACATGGTCTGTGATGCTAGCAGGCATGGTGTCTATGAGTGCTTGGTGAGTGTTGCCTACAGCCGACACAACGACATTGGCTGCTATCCACCAACACAATCGTTGAGGTCCTCGAAATTTGTCTCCCCAGGGGAAATCGAGTGTGACTCGACTGTGGAACGTCTTTTGGCAGAAGGGAGCCGTTTGCGTATGGCAGCATACCGGATGTTCCAAGCACTGTCGCACCAGATCCAGTTGCTCACCGACCACACACTCACTTTGACCAGCTTTCTGGCCCCCGAGGAAATGAAAGCTGCCCTTGAACCAGTGCCGCTTGATGCGACCCGAGTTGTTACTGGACATTTTGTGAGAAATGTGAAAAAAAATGGTGAAGAAGAGTCTGCTGTAAGTCTGCTGTCTCTGGCAAAGTTGCCCATGCTTGTGATTGGGATGGACCAGGGCACTGTCGGAATGGCATGCGCAGCATTCTTGATGGAGACTGGAGCTGCAATGACTCACTTCTATTGGGACCCATACCATAGACTGGTGAGAGACCTCAAGTTGGCAACTACAAATTGCCCTCCTGATGTCAAGCTTCAACTTCAACAAGGGCAGTTGTGTGGAAGTTACATGTTCAGCATCAACTACAAGCCCTTCAAAACAGCTGGCTTTCACGATGAGAAAAAAAGCCTTCTGAACACGTTCATGGAAACGGAAACCCAGGACTGTGTGGTTCATTATATCGTCGAAATGTTTAAAATACTTTGGTTAAAAAAATAAACAAAATAAAGTTTCAAGCCAGTATTATATTCTTAGATATTCTTAGTCAGTGTTTCGTTCAAACCTTCGGCAGGAATCCGACTTGTTCCTGCGGTACTGATTGCCATGGACTTTGACTTCACGTTTCGCACCAATGACGATATGGAAGTTCTTTTCAGTTCATTGGCAACTCAGCTGGATTCCTACCGAATCAAGAAGGGCGTTGTGAAAACAGGACGCTGGTTCAGCTGGCACAATGGATGCGAAAGCCAGTATCATGAGTTTTGGTCGACCAGAATGGTGCTGGAGTTTGGGTTTCCCAATGAGACTGACCCTGATCAGAACCAAAAGAGTTTCAAGGAGATGAGATCAGGTGGCGATTCCGTTGGGGGGCTGCGGCTAGTTCTCCAGTGCTGCAGCTGGAAAACGTGGTATGGCATCACTGCCATCAAGCTGGCTGACCAACCACTTTGGACATTCTACACTGAATCAGTCAAGACAGTCAAAGATGCTTCACAAGGTTTTCAAAGAAACTTGCTTTGGTCTGGGAATGGCTGGATGCAGGCCGAGCAATTCAGTCAGCTGGTTCGTGTCCTTGTCCAAGAAGCAGAGTTCGAAAAAGTCAGAGCATATGCTGCCTTGTCTGTTCGATTTCTGGGTGAGGAAGCAGCTGACCAGCATCTCGCTGGATTTGTGTCGTGCTTATGGGCATACATCATGCAGATTTTGAACTTCCGAGGAAGAACTATGTCGAAGCATGCTTCAGGTCCTGAGGCCTATGCACCGGCCATTGGTGATGATCCTGAATGTGCTCAAGAATCCATGGACTTCATGATTGCCGATTGGCGTGCGTTGAGGCTGCTGGAAGCTTCGCCTGGCCAAGCGCCCCAAGAGCTTGCAGCCGACATGCGTGATAGCATTTCAAAACCTCTGAGATTGGCCTTTCAGCTGATGGAGTGTGGCCGAAAAGAAGAGTCTTTGTCAGTCTTGAAGAGTCTGTTGTACAGATTGCCAGATACGAAGGTGGTGGAAGATGTTCATCAACGTCTTCGGACTGAAGCCATGGCCAATCCCAACAACAGACTTCTCCCAAGGGAATTGCAAGGGCTTGTGCAGACTTCGGGACAACTCGAAGCCCGACAAATGCCACATCCAGCCAGATTAGACAAAGAGTCTTTTCTTGAACGTTGGAAGGTCACTCCAAACAACTTCAACTTCAAGGTTTCACTGGACTCTGGAGTGGTGAAGCTCCCAAAGTACTTTTCACGAATGCTTGGCAAAAAGTCTTGGCGGACAATCAGTGAAGAAGCCTTGAGTTTGTCCAGTTCGGCATGGGCATGGATGCGGGAGTACATCTCCAAGGACTTCAAAAGCAAAGGCATCAAGTTGAGAGATTCTCAATTTTTTGAGTCAGTCAGATTTTGTTGTTAGTCGTTTTGTTTTGGTTATTTGTCTGAGGACGACTTACCTGACTTAGTTGTTTTGTTTTGTTTTGGTTTTGTTGGGGAAATCCAATCCACACCGACCAAGGATGCTCGGATGTGCATCACCTTGCAGCCAGGGATGGCATTCAAGGCCGCAGATGAGCCTGATGTTGTTTTTGCCTGTGTGTCGAACCTTCGATGGGCAATTCTGGCATGGCCACTCCAACCGGTTCAAGATGATGGTTACTACATTCTGGATCCAGCCGGAAGACTGTACTGGAAATTTGTGACCAATGTCGAGAATTTGGAAGCGGGGATTTTGGAACCATCATTCTTACCTGGTGTTGGCGTCGGCATTTTGATTAGCGAATGGGGGTCGGCTTTGAAGGTTCTGCTCAAGCAGTCTTCTGAGGCTCTGCTTTTCCGTGACCTCGAGTTCCTGGCCAAGAATGCATTTGGCATGTCCCGAACCAGATCCATGACTCGGCATGATCTTCTGAAAGCCCTGGCGACTGAAGTTGGGGGCCGAGAATTTGCTGAGGAAGTCTTGGAGTCTGTCTGTTGTAGAAAGAAAAGGAAACTTGACCAAACTGACTTTGATGACCTTGCTGGCATTGTCCTGGAGGCAATGGACAAGGACGAGGCAGCTGAATGGGATGACGTTCGAGTTTCGATGAAGAAGAAAGAGAAAGACGCAGTTGCATCGAAATGGCAGCAGTGGAGAAAAGAGGCTGGGTTAGTTGATTTCTTGAATAAATTGTTGATTTAAGTCGCTCTCACTTAGACTCAAACTTCATTTCCCTGCAGGCCAATGAACGAAAAAAGGCAAAGGGCAAGGGCAAGGGCCGTGGTGGACGTGGAAAAGGTCGATTGCCCCTTGGACGTGGAAAAGGCAAAGGGAAAGGATGCAGAAAAGGAAGAGGTAAAGGTAGAGCGGCCCAGTCTGAGAATTCTGCCCTCCGAAGGAGGTTAAGCTTCAATGGTGTTGACTCTGATCAAGCATCGCCAATGGGATCTCAACAAGTTCATCAAGGTGACAGTGCTGCTCCAGCTACACCCAAGATTGACAACGACGACGATGCTAACATGGAAATCGATCCTCCTAATGTCGATCCAGTGCCCTCCCCGGCCGATGTTGAAATGCCAATGCAGTTCAGTGATGCAGCAGCTGCTGCAAGTGATGATGTCTCTGTAGTCTGCTGTAGTCAACTTGGTTCGCTTGACCTCTTCACTGCTGAGAGTGAGCCTGCTGCTGTTGTGCCAGCAGTGGCCAGTGAAAATGCAGATGCTATGTCTCAATCTGCTGTTGCACCGGAGCCCGGGCCAGATGCTCCCAGTGAGACTCCTGCCGCTGATGCCGCTTCATCAGCACGAGGGCCAAACGTTCACCGAACCCCTGATGAACTCCATTTGATTACGCCGCCCAGCTGTTCAATCCACCTGAATTGCAACTTGGCTCTCACTAAAATTGACCTTGACTGACTTTTTATTTATGCATTCAAGTATGACCACTTACATCAGACAAACAACTCGTCATGACACACACTTGACTTGGTTTGACTTTTTTCCTACAGCAGACATGCAATTTAATGACACAGCAGACTCAAACTGGTAAATTACCACTGCTATTAATTACATGCTAGATGGTTTATGAATACAACAGACAATTTATGAATATGGACAATACAACAGTCAACAGGCAATGAATACATTATACAACAGATTCACACTAGACTACAGTAGACAAAAGTCAAATGTTTGGTTGCCATTTCAGGCAATGATCACCGCTGGACAGAGAAGTGGCCAAAAGCATTTGGCCTCTCTTCCTGGTCCAAGTCGTTCGACTACAAGAATGAAGCGGATTGGAAGCTCAAGTTGGAGCTCGTGCATGAGCATGCATGGAGAACGTGGAAAAAAATCAAAGACCATGACTCCATGAGGCCCTTTAGGGACCAGTTGAAACTTTGTGAAGGGCAAGTGGAGCAACAGGGAGGTGTTCTTGTTCCACAGCTGATTGAAAATCTCAGACCTCAATTTGAAAGGATGCCTCCAAAGAAGAGATACTGAAGTCCAAGACTCAGTGCCACTGTCCTGTCTGTTGTACAGACAAGTTTTGCAGCCAAACGTCGCACGCCAACAAGACTGGAAAAAAGAAGTCGGCCGTTTGTTGGTCTCAAGCTTTTTACATGAATCACTGATATTTCGATCAGTCAACCTGAGATTCTCTGAGACTCTGAGAGGATTTACTGGACACACCTTGGATCCTGAAATGTCTCGCAGCCGTCCATTGACTGGTACATCAAATGACATGAGTCATGTGAAAGCTAATCATCAATATGCACCAATTCATTCATACGCAATTGGACTACTACACATCATGACTATACTAAAACTGACAAACTTCACTCGATGAGATTTTCAGTCTACTGTATCCTGGTGTCCCGTCAGTGAATCGCCATGAAGCGCTCCCCAATGCTCATGACTCCTGCCCCCTGCTGGTTTCCAATGACTCTGATGACTTTAAGCCTTTGGCACCAAATGATGATGATGGCATCGACAAAGAAGTCTCGCACAAAGAAGAAGACAATCAAGGTTCAGATGCTGAGGCGACCGAATCAATGTCGTCTTCCTGAGACTTCGTCTGTTGTCGTGGAGACTGGGTCTGAGATTCAGCAGAGGCCAAGACAATATTTGCAAGAACAAAAAGATCCAGTTGATGAAAAATTCAAGGACGCTTGCTGCCGAGATCTGTCATACTTTTCAGCTTTGTCAGAGTTGCCGAGGTGGGGATTGGTGGCCAAATTCAAGTTTGTTTTCTGATTAGTTGCATGCTACTGATTTAATGATATGGGCCCTACTGTAACTTGTTAATAATAAGTTAATATCACACCATTTTAATTTTCATTGTTCTTGCTAGTCAATGATTTAGCCATGACAGGAGACTCTTGCCCATTGAGTTTGACATTGTCCAGAACTTCAGCAAGATGATCGAAAGGTTTCTTCAGTGTGATGCAGCCATGGCTGGTGGAAGAGCTGCTCGGCTGTGGACAAGGATTCTTCACCAATGTTTTGGTGAACGAGCACCTGGGCAGACCCTTGAGATGATGCTGCTCAAGTTGATCATGCGAGGCTACCGGAACCAAATGAGCAACTCTGAATTGCATCATTTCTGTGAATGCTTTTCAGGAGTGGGAAACATCACACGGGAGCTGCTTCGAGCTGGCTTTAAAGGGTCGGCCTTCGACAGTGAGTATACAGCTGACCACAACTTGCTAGACTCTTCTGGGTTCGAACTTGTCCTCAACTGCTTGACTGCACTTCGACGTCATGCTCTGCTGTGGCTTGGGACACCTTGCTCGTCTTTTGTAGTCTTATGTAGAGCCCAATCATTGAGAAACGCCTTCAACTCGTGGTTAGGTGATGAGTCGAGAGGATTTGTTTCCATAGGAAACGCGTTGGGAGAGTTGAGTGCGATGTTGATGTTTGTTGCCCATTGTCTCTCCATTTGGGTCGTCCTGGAGCAGCCACACTCCAGCTGCCTGCCCAACATGCCATCAATGTCTACAGTGCTGTATTTCTGCCAAGCCCAGAAGCACACCACATACATGGGACAATTCGGTGGCTCCTCGATGAAACAGCTTCAACTTTGGTCCAACTGTGCAAGGATCACAGATTTGGAATGCCCACGACCGGCAGCTGGTGGAGGTGAATTACTTGTGCGTAGAGACGGCGATGCTTTCACCGGAAACAAGGACAATTTAGTTTTGTCGCAAGTTTACACACGCTCCTTCGGCAGAGCTGTAGCTCGCATTTGCCGAGATGAGTGGGGCAGTGTCTAATCAAGTCTTGTGTGTGCCTTGCTGTCTGCTATTAATAAAAAATAGTCATTGTGTGGATGGTCTGCTGTAATTTGACCCAGGACTCACTGACTGACTCACTGACTGTTAGATTGGATAGCAGCTGGCAAGACATTTTCACACACTGACTGACTCTTGTGAGTGCTGCACCTATGCGGTTTAAAACGACTGTGACAGTGAGTTGTTCATTAGTTGTGCATCATTGATGATGACATGATTTTTTTCAAGACCTGGAAACCGTTTTTTTTTTGCGACCTGATTTTCTGAGGTCTACTGGCACAACTGCTTTGCCTGATCCCTACTAATCATGGTTGTCAGCTGGCGTAACATGTTTTAGAGTGCAAACCCAGATCAAATTGTTTTGCTTCGCTGATTCATTGATGGTTCATTGTTTGTGATTGGCCTAGGTTCAGCCTGGACACGATGCTTTGTCTCCTGTGCCTGCTGTAGTCAATTGTGTCTGTTGTATTTTAGGCAAGAAAGTCTGATGAGTAGTAGTTCAAAAACTGATAAACCAAAATTAAACAAAAAACAAAAACAAATTGAAATAAACTAAAACTGAAAAAACACATGAAAAAACAAATGCCAACAAACAAAAACAAAAAAATACAAAAAAACACAAATAAAAGGATATATATGAAACAATAATGTAAAAAAAATGTTATAAATGAATATAAATGAATATATATGAAAGCTAGGTCTGATCTAATCATACCCTGATCCAGGGTATGGAATTGATCTAGTGAGTAGTGTAGTGCAGTGTAGTGTAGTGAAATGTAGTGTAGTGTTCGTAGCGTAGTGTAGTGTAGTGGTGGTTGTAGTTGAAACTGCTACAAAACCCTCATGTTTTGCTCACTTTTGACAAGGTGCACAATAATCCCCTGCGGCTGCCACGCAAAACGACATCTGAACGTCCAAAAGTGCTCCGACCCCCCTCAGTTTTTTCCACTTTTGACTCCGACACGTGCTTCGCGCCACAACGGCGTGCACTTTTTCAACATCTCAACTTCCAAAAGTGCTCAGAGGCACAGGTGTTTTGTACATTTTGACTTCGCAATGTGCTTCGCGCCACAACGGCGTGCACTTTTTCGACATCTCAACTTCGAAAAGTGGTCCGAGACCGTCAGTACCTGGGGCACCCCCAGGACACCTTTTCCTGTCCAGATGAGAAAAAGTAAACTATTGGAAAGTTGGACAGGAATTGTTGTCCGGGACGGCTTTTCATAAAGCGCTTTCAAACGATGACATTGTACGTAATTTTTGCGCAACTTGAACGTAATTGAACGTAATTTGAACGCAATTCGAACGCAATGTGAACGTAATTTGAACGCAATTTAGCCAAAAGGACGTGAAAAACCGTTCGGCTATCGGAAAGGGCGTGAACTTTCGATCTTGGACGTGAAAACCGTCAAAAACTATGAAAAGACAACTTTTGTGGATCTGGACAAGAAAAGGTGTCCCAGGGGTGCCCCAGGAATTTTAATCTTTTGACTTCCAAATGTGCTTCGCCCCACAACGGCGTGCACTTTTTCGACGTCTCAACTTCCAAACGTGCTCCGAAACTGGTATGTTTTGTACATTTTGACTTCGCAACGTGCTTCGCGCCACAACGGCGTGCAACTTTTCATCTCTTATCTGGGCAGATGGCTCCGCACCCGCCGCTTTAGCAAGCCTACTTTTCGATCCTCCGGAGCCACAAATCATTGGAAAAACATAGTGATTCGCGACTTTTCTACCTTTTCGCGCACCTGCATCTTCTTTCTTCTGATTCTTTCTCTCTCTGATCTTCTCTCTTCTGCTCTTCTCTTCTCTGACTCTTCTCACCTCTGCTTTTCCATATGTCCACGTTGTCGGAAGTCTGACTTCTACACTTCCTTCGGGTATTATATCCCCATCAAAGCCGCCATTGGGGACTTTCCAGCTAGCCACGTGTCATTACCGGATCAACCTGCGAAATTTGTAGACCGTGTAGGTTCATCTGTCACCGCAGGATCTCTTCGACTTGGGCAGTGCATTTTGTGGAGTACTACTTGCTGTTTATTGGTTTGGTGGAAACATGTTAAAAAGGTATACTACCTTTTGATTTGATTAGATATGTCAAGACATATGCCCACCTTGCGCAGTAGATGGCTACAGGTGCAGTATCCCCAAGCCTACCTGGCTGGATAGTTTTTTTGCATGTTGATGTGCAAAGCCAAGCATTTCCAGCCGTTGATTGAAACTTTCACATAATCGCGCGCGCGCACATGCGGTTAATATAAACTATAATCTACACATGCACCTATAACATACATATATATATATAATATGTATACATAGTGTATGATTATGACTTTAGAAATCGTTGAAGATTGCCACTTGGCTCAGGCCACCGGGAGCCGGTGCGTGAGGTCCAGGAGTGGTGGAGCCTTGGCTGACTGGCTGTCTGACAAGGCTTAGATATCAGATGCATGGATTCATATGGAAATTATATGGAGATTTTTTGGAAATTATGGACATCTTTCATGATTTTTCATGACAATGATGGATGTTCCATGATTTTCCACTATGGATATGCATTGGATTCGATACCATATGAATATTTATATATATATATATATAGGTGAATTAGCCCCGGGTCATTTCTTAGCATACGGTGTAGATGGTCCATTTAGTTCGATGGGTTACCTTTTGAAAAGGCCGGTTTTCAACATGTGAATTGCCAGAGGGTACTCCTGAGTATCTATGTATCCATGTGAAACTATATTATATACTACATCCCCATACATCCCCCCTCCCACTAACAGTCGAAACATGGATTTCCTTTTAACTACTTTCCACAAGTAGCACCTGGACCCCAGGAGCAAAACCTAGGTCAGTTCATTTATTTAGCCTATTTATTGTGGTCTCGATTATTCGATGTTTGTGTTTTGCATTTTGCCGATATACGGATAATTATAATATTTTTTGTTTCTGTGCATGCAATAAAAGGGACCTGTTATACATAATTACCATTATTTTGAGTACTATACACATATTATACTATTAGTAAATATGATTATGTGTGTATGCGTTTCGACCCTCCATCAAATTTGCAACTTGTATTAAATATATACATATATTTATTTTTTTAGGTCCTGATATTGGACAGGCTTGAATGGCTGCTGAAAATGTACACTCAATGGATTGGTTATAGGGACAATTGAAACCCGAAACTTCCATGTTGCATGGAAAAAAACAATGGTTTCCTGTAGATTTGACCTGATACGAATGCATTGATACAGAGCTCGAAAACATTGAGGTTTGATCTGACGAAATGGGAATGCGGACTTCATAGTGGTCTCGCAGAATTTTGATTTTTCATGCGGGTACCACTGACAGTGGCCCCAAATAATGTGGTAAACCCATTGCTAAAGTTGGGTTAGTGGGAACGCTATTTAGGATAATTTGAAATGGCCCCCTGATCCCCTGTTTGGTTGATGGGATGGTTTATTGTCGGCTTTGCCAGGTAGCAATCAACTTTCTAGAGTTAATAGATGTTAATAGTGATAGCGTGTATTGGATAGGTATATGATCCCGTGCTTCCGTTGTTGGGAAGCGATTCGGCCCCGAAAAGCCAACGGCCGGAGTCCCAAGAAGTGGGGGAGATGATGTTCCTCTCTTGAAATTATTTCTTGAGTTTCCAGCTCTTTGGTTGCAGACTTGCAAGCCAAATGATAGGCGTAAGAGTGAGAGCCCACTTTGTGGCTGACAATTGACAATGCTATACTGCAGAAGTATCATGCGACCAAACCATCCATGACTAAGTTGGGTACTATTAGGTATGCCGAGATCAAGCAAGTTCAAGATATATAAGTCCACTTATGTCCGCTTCTTTCAACAATTTGTTGGCACAAGGGGAAGGCTATCTGCTGTCCAGCCGCTGACCTTTTCATGCACATCTCATGCATATCCCTTTCCGAGGAAGCTCGACGAGAGTTCCAGTCGTGCCAAAGACATTCGTAAAAAACTCACCGGCTGGCGAAATTCCTTGTCTTTTCAAGAAAAGGCGTGAGGGGGCTGGGTTAGCTATCAAGAGCTGGCCGTGTGAAGCTGGCAATCTTCACTATCAAGAAACATCAAAAAACTTATAGTGATTTTAGCCACCAACCAAAGGTAATCTAATATGATATCACCAACCGCCAGAATCCCAAGATCGACAGTGATCTTGGGGTGCTGCTCTCGGACTTGGGCCAAAATCCCATGCCAGATGACCAATGGCCAGGCAAAACTTCATATGGCCAGAGCATTGATCATGAACCCTGAGATCTTGATTTTGGAGAAGCCCTTAATGTTCCTGGGTGATGTCTATACGGGCCGGCGGACTTCCAGGGAAATGATGGATCTTCCAAGGCCCCCCCGACGATACCCGAAACCTCCAATGGATTAGTTGCGGATGTGAAAAGCAAACGTTGCCATTCAACATCCAACATGATGTTAGCCAAACCATCGAAATTCCAACAAACATGTTTTGCTACACGTGATATAGATCAAGATACAGGAATCTTACTAGAAAAGAGTTTGGTTTGAAGAACAAAGGGCGCGCGCAAAAGAAAAACATGGAATAGAAACCCACAGAAAATAGATGAAAAGGAAAGTTTTCTTGTGAAGGTCTTCGGTGCCCTGCCCTGCTTGACATTTTTGGGTTGCCGTTTCCACCAAGGAATTTAGATGAGGCGGAGTCTGAACGGGTCATGACCGTCCTCCGTGAGTATGTTTCCAATCGCGGCGTTGCGATGTCCAGTGAGAGCCGAGACATGCGAAGGCTGCTGGCAGTTGGGGGATGCTGATGTTTGCAACTCATGGGGAGCTGGGTGATTGAAGGGGGTCATGTTTTTTTTTGCGAATTTGGCCTAGTTCAATCCATTTGGGTAGTAACCCAATAGATCAGGTTAGGTTATTTTCTGCCTAAAAGGTAATTCCTTACCTAAAGCAAAAATATAACCTTAAAGGTAAAATCTAAATAACCTAAAAAAGGTTATTTTTTTACCTAACAAAAAATTACCTTTTTTTTAGGTAATTTTTTTAACCTTATTTTTACCTTAAAAATGTAAGTTTTTCATTGTTTTTTTGGCATTTTTTAGCTGAGATGAATGTTGGAAAAAGCAATGGACCAATGGCATTCCAAACAACTTCGGCTCCAAGTACATGAAAAACCAAGCAGTCCTATGAGCAAAAGTAATCCTATTCCTACAAGTAATCCTAATCCCAACAGTAATCCTATGACCAGAGTTCAAACAGCAAGCTGGCCTTTTTTCACTTCACTTGCTATTCCTACAAGTAATCCTAATCCCAACAGTAATCCTATGACCAGAGTTTCCACAGCAAGCTGGTCTTTTTTCACTTCACTTCTTCTGCATTTCACAATGCATACCATAAGACCAGTGATGCAGCATCTTTGTGCATGCATCCTGTGGCGCAACCCCTTCACACAGTTGGCACCTAAAAGCTTCAAAATTCCCATGTAGGACTCACCACAAAAATTCCACACCACTCTAGGATTGATTTGGTGGCTGTGGAGAGCCAAATGGATCAAGTCATGGGTCTTCAAAGTGGTGTTGAAAAGCTGGACAGGCTCATCAGAAAAGTGATCGAACAAAAGGCTCTGCACATGGCACATACTACAGTTACTACAGCATGCATCCAAAAGTTCTTTGGCAGCTGCAGCTGGCAGTGCCACAGACTCCTTGTGCTCATCAAGCAGATCTTCAATTCTGGAATTCAATTTGAGCACTGTCAAAATCTGGCGATGCACAGTAATGTGATGGTTGTGGTGCTTTGACCACAGGTGGAGAACCACTTTGTGCAAGTGATGGATCTCTGCCCCCTTGCCCCTGAGCTTGGGTGGTCCAGACTTTCTTTGAAACATGGTCAAGCGGTTGAAATACCTGTACTGATGAACAATTCCCAAGGTCTTGTACAAGGTTTTCATTTCTTCCCACATTGACAAAAGGTTGTTCACTGGCGTTGATGGCAGTACCACAAAGCAAAGTAGATGGAATACTGATGCATAAAGATATTGATCATTGCCAAGGTATTTGACATGTAGCCAATCCAGCTGCACTGAACAAGCAGTGACCCCAATGGCTTGAAAAAGTGGGCATTTGCTTCTCCCAGGCCAATCCAACCATTCTTGGGGTTTCCACTCCATTCCAGCAATGTGCTGCCAAGGTGAAATTTTTTTCCATGTCATAGGTCCACTGCTTTTGCACTTACAAACTGGGCAGCCACCTTCCTTCAAACTCCACCTGGGCAACTGCAATGATGCTGCAAAGAAATCCAAATCTCCTTGCACTGACACCAATGCAGCTTTCCAGCCACCACACAGGGGCTTTCCAGCCCTCAAGAAATCTTCACTGCCAGAGCTGTACCTTTTGCAAGGGCAAAGCAAAAAACAGCCACACACAGATGCAAACATTTAAGCACCATTGCTTTTGCTGCCATGCACAAACACAGAACAGCACAACCCATGAAACTGCAAGCCAAGTGCTCCACTCCAGTCCAGTCTGCTGTTGGAAAATCTCCTTTGAGGAGGCAATCAAAACTCCATCTCAAGACTTGGAAGAAGGTGTCCAAAGTAGATTCATCGCCATGCACCAGCAACTGCTCAAATACCTGTGCAGCACAGCAGCAAAAGCACAACATGATTTCCAGTGAGGCAAACAAAGACACAGGAACATTACACAGCAAACCTGCACAGTAATCCTACACAGTAACCCTAAACAGTAATCCTACACAGTAATCCTACACAGCAATCCTATCTTGCACAGCAACCCTACACCTCAGAAACTTGCTTGTGACTCAGGCCACCCAAAAGATTTAAGATTGAGCTGCTCCAAAAATGAAAAATGATCTCTGCTTGGTAGAGCCAACTGAAAGTAGAGAAGCCCAGCTGTAGCACTGCATCAGCTTTGCCCAAACTTTCCCACATCCAACTGCGGGAACAGCATCCCCATGCAGGTTGAGTGGAATTGTAGTTGACATCCAATTGGGCTGGTGCAAGAGCCAATGGTTTTTCAAAAGAGTGGTGATCCTTGAACTTTTCCCAAAATGCAAGCAAGCCATCCTTACCATTGGGAAGGAAAACGCTTTTCCAGAAATCTGGGTAATTCACCCAGACATGGTGAAAGACCAAGTGTGGTAGCATAATTGATTGCAAAGCTTTGCCTTTTGGCACCTTCATAGGCATGAACACTTGCAGTGGTTGAGGCAACTGGTACTCAGAAGCTACTAAATTCCACAGATCTCTGTGGCAATTGTTGGCATGTGCCCCTTCAGTGCCCAGCATTGAAAGCTTGTGTACAGCTTGAGGTGACAATTGCCCCCATGCCCATTGTTCTTTCAACCAGTCAGCCAGCAAGGAGGGCTGGCCACCAAAGGAAACATCACCTGCAAGACTTTCTCTCTTTTGTGATTGCACCCTTTGGTGCAAACCACCTCTTCTTCTTTTTCTGCCCACTGGGTCATGCAAATCTTCATCCATGGCTTCCCACTAAGCAAGCTGGTGCTCTTAGCAAAAGTTCTGGGCTGCTGTTACATGAAATGAGACATCTGTGAGCATGAGGGCTCTCAATGAAAATTTTATAGCTGTAAAAACTTTGCATGCTTCCAGCATTTCACACTTGTTCCGAAATTTCAAACTCTGAGGTTTCAAAGCTGTACAAATCTGATCATCTGCTTGTTTGGTCACTGGGTGAACAATTGTTTCTATCTTTGGTATGCCCACAAGCTTGAAGACCAACAGTGCACACAGCTGCAAATTCTTTGGACTTTGTGCAAACAATTTGAACACAATAATCCTATTTGGCAAGCAACACAAACTTCAAAGTGTGTCCCACCAAGAATAATCCTAAAGCCATTCCTTCAAGCAATAATCCTAACAACTTTCTTGTGCTTCACAAAGTAATCCTAGCAGCAGCTCCTTTTTTATACCCTCAAAGCCTAGCACAGCTGTCTTATCCACAGCTCCACAGCCAGTCTGCCACATGCAGGCTTAGCTGCACTTGCATTGCCAAAACTGGATGGTTTGATGCCATTGTGAACCATGATGGAACAATGCTGAAACTTGCATGTCTTTCCTTGTTTTAAGAATTATTCCAAACTTGTGACAAACATTTGGCACCAAGACCATTGCCTTTGTCCTAAAGTCCTCTAGCTTTGCAAACTGCTTTCACTTCTTCCATGCCTTCATGGACTTCTTCTGTTTTGCTTGCAAGCTCCTTTAGGAACTTTTCTACTTTGCTTTTCTCATTTCCATCACTATTTGGGACCTGCTCCCACATCAAGCACTGGTTCAAAAGGCCAATGTTTTCTGTCAGCAAAGCGACCATTGTCCTCATTTTTTCTGTAAGTTTCTCATCTTGAGCTCCCCGGACTTTGATTGCAAGCCTGTTGAAATCCCTTTGCAACCTCTCATTTGCATCCTTTGCATCTCCAATTGGTGATTGCAACACCTTCCAAGCTAACTTGACAACCTTGGGCTCTGGAGCTGGAGCTGGCAAAGCTAATTGCTTGCTGTGCATGCCACTTGATGAAGATCCTTGAAAGGTTGCACTTTCCAAGGCCAAAGTACTTTTGCCCCTTTTCAAGGCTGGAGATGGCTCATGTTCATCTCCACAGCTTTGCCCAAACTTTGCCCACAGCCTTGAGCTCATGAAATTGGAAATGCCAGCATATTCATCCACAGACAACGCTGCAGGACCACTCTTCAGCTGCATTTCATCAGTGGTTTGCTTGCTTCGTCCTGCAGACACTTTGGCATGGTGCCAAAATCCTTTGGCCTCATAGATGTCTCCTCTTGAATGTGCTGTTTGCATAGCCAACTCATTGCCTTGGAAAACCTGCCACAGCATAATGCTGTAGGGCACACCCAAAGTTTTTTCAGTAGCAAAGGATGTATCCAAGTTCTTCTTCCAGCTCAAGAATTCTGGGTCCTTGTGGCACATGATGTACTCACCTTTGCTGTCCTTGCGAAATAATTTGTTGATGAGAGTTGTTCTATACATTCGAGGCTGCTTGGATTGCATAGCATCATCATTGTACATTTTCAAAATGTCATCTGGGACTTGGCCATTTTTCAAGAGTCTTCCAAACTTTCTGGCTTTGGCATAGTCCCTCTTGTCATTGGCATCCACTTCTTCATCAACTTCTTTTTCCTCCTCTTCTTCACCTTCACCTTCCTTCTGATCATCTTCTGCATCAAAATCTAAAGCTTTCCAAGCAGATGTCCTCTCTGTTAACTTCTTTGCTTTTGGCTTTGCCTTTGCTTCTGGTCCTGGTGTTTGCACAAATAGTGGCAAGCTAAGTGTTCCTTGTCAAAGTAATCCTAGCAAAGTAATCCTATCAGAAAAGTAATCCTATCAGCAAAGTAATCCTATCAGAAAAGTAATCCTATCAGCAAAGTAATCCTAAAAGCAGTTTCACAAAGAAGCAAAACACAACCATGTTTAAAGGTCCTTCTTTTTCTTCATTGGGTTTTGTTCCTGGTTTCTTTTTGGCACCAGCTTTCTTCTTCCCAGCCAATGCCTTGGTTTTGGGTTTAGCTTTAGGCTTTGCTTTGCTCTTGACCAAGCTTTTGGCTTTGGCCTTTGCCTTCTGTTTTGGTTTCAATTTTGGTGCTGCCTCTGTAGGCTCTGTTTCTGCAGTGGCTTCTTCTGTGTTCTCTTCTGTGTTCAAGTTCCCTGCTGCCTCATCTGTAGTGTTCAAAGCCTCTGTTGTTTCTTGTTCTTCTTTTGTATTGGCCTCCTCTGTTCTGGTTGCTGGCCTTTTCTTTGCCATGGCTGTGGTGCAGCTTGTGTGCTAGGCTTTATACTGAAAGGTTTTTGAAAAGCAGCAAAATGCCACAAAGTTATTGTTGCACAAATGTGGTGGCCAAAGGATATGGTTCATCCAATGTGCAGTGGTGACATCAGTATTCATGTGACACTTCCTCGAAATTGAAGTCATTTAGATTAATGCTAGTTTCCTTCGATATCATGTATGAAAAACATGATCCTAGGATTTTGCGTTTTCATGTTTTTTGTATTAAAATGATACCTGCAACGCAAAAATAAAAAAAATATCCTGTTTTGTGTTTCCAGGACTTTGCAGTAAGTCCTCCTTGGCCTTGACTGAGCCAAAACAATGTATAGTATATACACACATTTTCACTTTGCACACATGCACCTCCAGTAATCCTAACATGTTGCACATGCTGCAAAGTAATCCTAAGATGTTTCCACAAAAAGTAATCCTAACATGTTTCCACAAAATGGTTCCAACATGTAGCCCTGAACACAACCCCTCTTATCCTGACATGTTGGCTCCAACACATAGGATTATTGCTGATAGAAAAACACCTGTTGAATCATTTTTTTGTGGTAGGTTTACTTTTAGGATTATTAATTATTGACTCACAGGATCTGGTAGGATTACTGGTGAACATGAAATAGATTTCAATTAGAAAGAGCTATAACTAATTCTGAAGGTTGTTTTGCTGTTATATTCATTGGCCAAAATGATTAGTTTATGGTTCAACCATTCAAAATTCATGAACTTCTTGCCATAAATCTTCAGGTTCATGCATGATACCTTGAAACTTTGGTTGAAAGTTTGCAGTCAAACTTTCAATCTGATTGAAAGTTTGCCTGAAACTTTGCATGTAAACTTTCAAGGGTAGATTGAAACTTTGCATGTAAACTTTCAAGGGTAGATTGAAACTTTGCATGTAAACTTTCAAGGGTGGATTGCAAGTTTGCATGCAAACTTGCAGGGGTTCCTTGAAAGTTTGCAGTCAAACTTTCAATCCTTATATTTATTACAATTAAAAAAATAAATAAGGTATGAAAGTTTGATCTGAAACTTTCAATGCATCATTGAAAGTTTGCTTGCAAACTTTCAACCCTCCATTGAAAGTTTGCATGCAAACTTGCAATCTACCCTTGAAAGTTTGCATGCAAAGTTGCAGGCAAACTTTCAACCAGATTGAAAGTTTGACTGCAAACTTTCAACCAAAGTTTCAACATCATGCTCATGTTTCTTTGATTTTTGAGTCAAAAACACAAATTTTCCAAGAAAAAAAATGAATGGAATAACCATACCATGGTGAAAAAAAACTTGAATATGGCCAATGAATGAACTCAAACATGTGTCACATTGCAACTTGTCCCACTCCAGCAGGCATTTTTTTCCTGGAAGAATGAAGCATCTTGCAGGCTTCAAGAGGATTGTCACCTTGAACCAGTTGACAATGAAAGTGGTAGTCATCCTAATGCCAAAGCAGCCCTAATATGAACAGCAATCATAATCCCAAAAGTAATCCTAAATTCACAGGTAATCCTAATGCCAAAAGTAATCCTAAACTAAAAAGTAATCCTAATATCAAAGTAACCCTAATGCCAGAAGTAATCCTAGTGTCAAGTATGATGGTAATGCCAAAAGTAATCCTAGATGAAAAACTGAAACAACAACACCAGGAGCCTAGAGCTCAGGGTCATCTGGTCCAAAAGTGTTCCTCAAAAGAGGTCTGAACACCAAAACTTCTTTGCTGCTTCAAAACTCAAAGGGGTTAATCCTAAATGACTGCAATCTAGCTTCTTAGCATCCAGGTCTTTGGTTTCATCTGCAGCCTTCTCTGTAAAAGGCCATGCCCTCGACCTCAACAAAAAAAATCAAGTGAAGTAAACTATGAACAAAGAGTTTAAAAAGTAATCCTAGCATAAGAGCCCAGTGGCTTTGGCACCCTTCCTGGAAACTCTGGCCCACCAGAACCAGAGGATTGCCCACCAGACCTGAGAACATGTGAATCTTAACAAGTTCAAACAAAACAGTACACCAAACCTAGCTAGTCAAAACTTGAATCAGCAGCACATCTACAAGACTGCAACCTAGTCACTTCGGGTTCACACTGGCAGATCCAATTGCAGTGCTCTTGCCAGCAGGTTCCCTTAGAAATTGTGTTCATGATTTTAACATTAACCCAAGAGACAGGATCACAAGTTATATGCTAGATTTGATTCCCAAGTAATCTTGAACTAACCTGCAATGTAATGCAAAAAATGGATGAGGCAGTCCATTGAAGTTGCAGACCAGTAACTTAGGCAATGGTGATGTAGCAATTGGACCCAACCAAGCAGTGCCAGCATTCCTCAGAAAAGAAGCAAAAGGCATGCAGCCCACAAAAAAAAAAAAGTTGATGAACATAAATCTGGAAGAACATTCACAAGTAATCCTAGACAGTGCATGCAAAATAAAACCCAATGCTGGCAAGAAACTTTGGCACAGTCTCTGAAACATTGGTGGAAGCAGCCTTTTCCATGGTCAGCTGCGCTATCAGCACCCTGAGAAGGGCAACAGCAATCCTAGACAATGACTCAACAAAAAACATTTTCTGCCACTAAGTCACTTCGGCAAGCATTTTGATGGTGGAACAGTAGTTCCATGGCAGGGTTCCTCCAAATTCCTGAAGTTTTGAAATCAAAAATGCATCAAATGTCATGAGCCAATGCTGAAGAAAAATAATCCTAAGTAGAGTGCAGTCTAGTCTCATTTCAGCTGCACCAGGGGGAGGGTTTTTGACAATCAACCTGAGACACAACAGAAGTGCAAAAAAAACCAACCAGCAACACTTTTAGCAGCAACAGTAATCCTAACAGTCCATGTTTTGGCCCAAGCACTGCTTAGGAGCTGCCATTTGCTTGGGAGGATGCCTCAGCTGCCAACAAATGAATAAGTTCCTGATCCCAACACTTATTGGTTTTGCTTCCCAAAAAAATCAAGAGTAATCCTGGGTCAACTGAAATAAGACATGGCACTTTGCCACATAGGTAAGACCAGTGTACACAGGTGGAGCTTTCACAGGGCAATTGGAAGAGCCACCATACCTTGGAAGATATTAACAGCACAATAAGTAATCCCAAGAAAACCGACATGTATTTCAAACAATGATTCTTGCAATCCAGCCACTTAGGTCCCATTGAAGATGGCTGGATGTCAGCTGGAGGGGCCTTGTACTTTGGCATCAAGTTCATCACCTGAAATGCCTTTGGCATACCACTCCTTAGTTTTTATGCTCAAAGCTGCTGAAACATGGAATGCAATGCACAGAAAAGCAATCCTATTTTTTGTGCAATCTAAAGTCGCAGGTCCACCCATAGCATTGCTGGGAGGAGGTGTGTATGGGGCAGAAGAGGAGCTGCTGGTTGGTGCCACCCTCAGTGCACAGGTGTACACAGAAGAAACCAACCACACAGTAATCCTAAACAGTAGAGCCAAAAAATGCTTAAGTAATCCTAGCAAGACAAGAACAAAGCAATCCTAAACACTCTGGTTGAAGAAACATTGCATAAGTAATCCTAAAAAGGTTGCAGACAACAATGGTGCAAGCCAGATGCTTTGGCACCACTGGATCTGGGACACCAGGTTCCCTGACAATGCAGAACAGAACCATAGCTTGGCAAGGGCTAAGTAGCACCCTGCCAACATCCATTTTCAATGCTGCAAGCAAGGCACAAGGCATTGAAGTAAGCTTCTGCAAAAACTTCAAAGGTGGTGAAGCCCATGCGATCCTTCCTGAGAAGCAACCAAACATGTCACAACTTGAAAAGAAATTGCATGCACAGAGGCACCATGCAGGGAAACATCAACAGCTTGCAATGTCACATGAAACAAATTAATTGTTGACCAGTGTCTGCTCCTGGGACATTGCATCCCATTCCTGCTGAATGCGAGGACCAGCACTGCCATACCTGATTTGATTTGTTCAAAGATTTGCCATGTCCAAAGCACACTTGGTCACATGAAAAAAGCAACAAAAGTAATCCTAGCAGCAATTGCAGGCAAGACACCTTTGGTCCCTCACTTCAGCCTAAATTGAACAAAGATTGAATTCCACCCCAGTAATCCTACAAGATTCTGTACACAACCCTAGAAAAGCACACTTAAAGTAATCCTATTTCCCCAAGATCAAGAAACAAAGCATGTGAAGCATTGAGGCCAAGGTTGGGTGCAGCAAGGGCATTCACCCCTTATCAGCTTCCCCTCTGCATTTTTATGCAGCCCGTGGTAGTCTAAAAAAATAGTTCTACCCCTGCCCTTGCAGGAACCTTCATGGTGTTGTTCCACCATGCTTTTGAGCCGAGAAACTCTGCTTCTTTTTGCTGGGGGCAACACAGAGCTTTGGCAAGTGGTAGCTCGGTGAGTTAACCAATGCCCATTCAACTGGTTACAGTAGTAAGCCAGCTGGTTCCAAGTGCAATGGTAGTGGATGTACACACTGGTCATGTCACACCCTCCACCATGCACATGGATCCATGCAGGCTGTGGCAAACCCTGCTGCTGCACCCATTGAGAAACATCCCACCAAGTCCAACCCAGTGGGACATTCCTCAAATACAGCCTACCATGGCACATTTCATCACCCCCTGAAGACATCCTAACTACAAATGCGAAAGTGTTTGTGTTTGGTATATGGATGTGCTTCTTACTGCTTGCTGCTGTTTCAAGAAGGTTCTTGTGCTGGTTTCTTCTTGTTTGTACTTGCTATTTGAATCTTGGCGAAAAGGCAAGGATTCCCTATCCATTCTTTCTGCTTGCTGCTGTTTCCAGAAGATTTTTGTGCTGGTTTGTGCTTGTGCTTGAGCTGGTTTGTTCTTGTTTGTACTTGCTATTTCAATCCTAGTGAAAAAGGGCTTGGATTCTGGGTCCTGTGATCACATGTTGTCCTATGACAAAAAGTAATCCTAAGTGACAAAAGTAATCCTAAGACACACAGACAGTATAACCCTAAAAACAACAAAAGTAATCCTAAAAGTAATCCTAAAAAGTAATCCTAAAAACAACAAAAGCTATCCTAAAACAACAAAAGTAATCCTAAAAACTCAGTGAAAAAGTAATCCTAAAAGTGACTAAAAAAATAATCCTAGACAGCAAAACCACATTGCACTGCAAGTTACAAAAGAAGTGACCCAAAAAATAATCCTAGACAGCCAAACCACATTGCACTGCAAGTTCCAAAAGTAATCCTAAAGCACTGGAAAGCAGCTGACACTTTTTTTATATCCAACCCACAGGAAGACTCTGCCAAAGTGTCTTATTCTTCCTTCATCAAACCATTGTTGATGGCATCTCTCACCTTGGCAGAAGCCATCCTAGCAGCATCCAAAGCAGCTTCTTCAGACTTGCCCTTTTTCAATGCCTTCAGTTTCTCTCGATGGTAGGCACTAGAAGTGGCTCTCTGCATGAAACTTGTCTTGTAAGTTGCTTGCTTCTTTCTGGAAACCTGGCTTTTCACAGATTTTGCTGTAGCTGTTTTCTTTGGAGCCACAGAAGAAGCAGGCTTCTTCATGCCTGATTTGTTTCCTTTTTTTCTTTTCTGTTTCTTCTCCATTTTGCTATTCTGATGCATCCAAACTGCAAGCTCCTTTTTTTCATCAGCACTCAAATCCAGCTCATCCAGGAAGTCAATTTTCGAAGAACCCTTCCTTCCCATGGAAGAGCCACTGCTTTTCCTTCCCAAGGAATCTGTATTGCTTCTGCATTCCAAGGAAGAGCCACTGTTTTTCTTGTCCAGGGAATCTGTATTGCCTTTGCCTTCCAAGGAAGAGCCACTGCCTTTCCTGTCCAAAAAAGAAGCACTGCCAGACACCTGCTTGGTGCTCTTGGCTGCAAAGCTTGGCGAAGCTGGGTCTGATGCCTCTCTGGACAGAACCCTTTTGAAAACTTTGGAGGGTGAAGGCAAGGTGCTATCCTCATCCTTTCTAGGTTCTTCCTGCTTTTGGTCTGTTTCAATTTCTCCAAGTTCTTCCTGCCCTTGGTCTTTTCCAATTTGCACTGTATCATCCTCATGTAATTGCAAAAAGGACAGCACATTGTCTATATTGTTCTTCTCTTTCACAGAAGCTTTCTTAATGCATCTGAGGTATTTTTTGGGGTCTCTCTTCAACTCTCGATACTGCTGGCAAGCAATTCGAATTTTCTCATCCATCCCATCTGCAAAATCTGTATCATGGAGTTTGGTGAAGTTGATGCGACCAGATTCTGCTTGCAAGGCAAGTAAAGCTTTTCTCATTTTGGTGCTTTGCAGTACACCATTTGTATGCAAAGAGAAAAGAGTGGAGCATATATCCACCAACTCATCAGTGCCAAGCCATTCTGGATCTGGACTTGTTTTCCAACTCACAGCATGCCTGCTGTGCAAGAGCTTGTTCAAGTCACGACAGCCCTGCCTTTGCATCACTTCATTGATTTTCCTTTGAAGGTCATTGATTGAAATCGAAGGGTCAGGTCCAAGTCTGCTTTTGCCAGTCATGGCAGCAAAAAGGAAGGTAAGTTGTAAAAGTTTGTGTATGTTTGCCATTTCCTGTGTGTCAAACATGATTTGCCTGACCAATGTCCATGTGTGACTACATTGAAATAGGCAGCCATGACATGTGCAAACTCTGCCATGTGGTGTCATGTCTTCCAACTTCCAAGCAAGTCTTGAAGCCAGCTTGGGCCAGTGTGACAACTTTCCACAAAAAACTAACAGCAATCCTATCTGCACAAAGTCTTGACACAAAGTAATCCTACTTCCTACATGCAAAAATACAACAAAAATCTTGGGAAACACACATTTTTAAGACATTTTTTCAAACAAAAAGGAGAAAATACCTTTAACAAAACCCTTCAAATAATTAAATAACCTTAAGAAAAAAGTAAATAACCTTAAGAAAAAAAGTAAATAACCTTAAGAAAAAAGTAAATAACCTTAAGAAAGGTTATTCTGCAACCTTAAAAAAGTATCAAATTAGGTAGGAAATAAGGAATTACCTTTTAGGCAGAAAATAACCTAACCTGATCTATTGGGTAATTATGCATTATCAAGGGCATTATTTGGAGATATTTGGAGCATCTATGGGACTGGCTTGAATGTGCTGTCCATACCCCAGTGGGGCCAGTTGGGGCCCAGATTTATTTTTGCACACCAAGTTACCGAGTTCCATCAATCACGGTCCTGCGATGCTAAATTTTGAAATCATGTGTGTATCACCGTGGGTCTCTTTTGGTTCCAGCCCAATCTATTCATCAGATGAGCCTTTTTGATGTAACTTGAGCCCCCTGATGATAGACTGGGGGCCCTCAAGCGGTTCAGGGATTGGAGCCGATTGTTCTCAACTGGTTGGCAGTGAGCCACGATTCCCAAAAGTGGGTCAACATCAGTCAACATCCAAATGCAATGAAAGTGTGACATTCCTTGTATGCTCACCCCCATTTGGGGACTGATTTAGACCCAAACCCATCTGGATGGGCCCCAACTGGGCGGATAGCGCATTCCACCAGGCCGCGCACCTGTGTTTTTACGGCCGAGCGTCCGACGACCACCCTGGTGGATGCTGTTTGGGAGTTCAAAGACGGATCCTGGCCCAAAGATTATCCAAGATTTTGGCTTGCTATTCTGTTCAGCCCTGGGTTTGCTTTGCAGAGTTGTTTGGTTTGTTTCCATGTTTTTCTTGTGACATGATTATATTCATGGCTGACATCATCCTTATTTTACTTTCCATCCATCTGGTACCCTGCGAAGACATGAGCAAATAACATAGGGCGGAAGCGGAAGATACTGTTCCGCCTTGGAAAACGGAACCATCCCTGCCACAGATTACAAATTCATTCAAATTCCAGGTGCCGCAATCCTGTTTTTCTCGGTGTTTTCTAATTTGTTTTCTTGTCTTCCCCGGTTCTCGCACTGGACCTGAGGTGTTTGTCAGGAGCTCCGTGCTGGGGAAGGAGCAAAGACCTCCAAAGACTCAGGCCACAGCCAACTGGGGAGCTCCGTGCTGTTGACGCTGGGAATGGACATTGTTTTTGCCAGAAATGGCTGGTGTTTGTTTGCAGGATGCCCAAGTTTGTCCATGCATACTTGCGATTATGTACATACATTATCATACAGTAAATATATTTTTACAAGATAAGATAACATAAGATAATATAATATAGCATAATATATATACTATATCATCATTTTATAAAATAATATGTTTGAATAGAATACAATGTAATATGTATAACACACTTTATCGTACTGTAAGATAGTATAATGGTTTTAATGTAATGATATAACATATCGTAATATGATGATTTGTTTATTTAAAGTAATATAATATTATTGTACTATTAGATTTTACAATATGCAATACCATAATATAATTTAGTATTATTGAACATAGTTTGTTTTAATTTCATATGATATATTTTCATGCAAAATAATTTCATACAATATAATTTGGACTAATTTGGTATCATTTAAATAACATACTACTATAATATAGTATAGTTTAATCTAATATAATATAGTTTAACATAGCATAACATCATATAATGATATATAAGTAATATAGTATAAACAACATAGTTACATAATAGATATATACTATGTATACATGCACATTATCGTCGATGCATGATTAAATATATATATATACATATACACATAGACGTATTTTGGATCTACTTGTTATGTGTATCTCTACCATGGAGAAAATGCTGCGGGGGATCCGTCTACGGAAGCAAGGTTGGGATCTACTTGCATCTAAGAGGGGTAGAATGAGCATAAAGACTGGCATTAAAATCAACATAGATTCGGGTATCACTAGCACTGGCAGCTGGTGAATTGCCACTTGGGGGGCATCCCAAAAGATAACTGGAGAATTTCATGCATTATGGATTTCTACAGTTAGTTATATCCCATGTATCAATCACATACTAGCCTTAGGGATTATCCAAGAAAAAACAATTATTATGCATGCTATTTACCCAAAAAAGGAACCAGCAAGCAAAACAAGTGGTGGGAATATCATATATGGAGATGCAAGCAACTATTCCTGCTGGGTACATGACGAGCGGCACATTTCCGATAAAACGTGCAGCGTAACCACAAAGCAAAAAAAAAACACAACAAACAAATTATCAAGATTTACCATACTGGGTAGAAAGAACTGTCCAAACTTTTACCGTCATGAAGCAGTTGCAGCGATGAATTTCACACGTGGAATACTTTCACCATGATTTCCCCCCAAAGGATACAGTACAACCCACATCGACCCACCAGCATGAACAGATGTTGCACCAAATCAGTGTTCCTTTCAATTTCTTTTGCTTGGACACGTTTCTTGTGTGGAACCAGCTTTGGCATTTGGCGCTTCCAATTCCAAGCACCTCATTGGGCTCTGAGGAACGTGAGGCACATGTCAACCAACAACTTTGCCTTCATGTCGCCTACTCCATCGCCCTGAGTCAGAGCAAAGAACTCTGTGCAGAGCGTTCGGGCTCCCAATGCCACCGCATATCACAAAACCAAGCAAGCACACATACATATATTGCATACGGCGTACATATATAGTATCATCCGATTAGATGTTTGCCGGCGCCTAGTTTGGTAGCATGTGGGCTGGGTGATCCAGCGGTGTCACTGGCCGGCGCTTCTTTCAATCGATTTGTAGTGGTAGTGTATACCCTCTGGTTATTTAATATAGCCATGGTATAGATGACCCATAGAAATAGATTGTTTACGTATTGAAAATGGTGATGTTCCATGGCTATGTTAAATAACCAGATGGTAGTAGTGAACAGTGACCATGGTCTGTCAGGCAAAGGCCTTGACTAAGGCGACTCAACGAAATAGATGGCTGGTGGTTCAAGAGTTTGCACATGTTTGCATCTTTCATTGGCATCACGCATCCAGTTGGTTGGCTATCTGGGACGTAGACCACCAGCCAAGAATGGAATGTACTGTGACCAGCCCCTTGCCCCGCTACAGCGAACAACGCTCACCGGGCCGTGTGGGGCCGCACAGACGTTCTGAATTCATTTCGAAAACCAGCCGTGCAGCCTGAAGTCTTGAGGCCCGGGAGGATGTGCTGACGCGAATGCCAACGGGTTGCAAAGTTGTTAAAATGACTTCAAGCACTGGGATCACCATGATTTCTCCTGCTGTATCCAAATGTGTCTATGTGTTGGTCATAAAATCTGCAGCTAGTTAGGTACTGAGTCAGAAAATAGCAGCCCATTGTTTTTTTGCTGGCATGGGGCTGGAGCTGCCCTTTCTTGCTAAACATCCATGTGTATCCATTTGTTACTGGCAACTTCTGTTTGCTCCCTAGCTCCCCATGTATTCCATGATATTTACCCTCTGGTTATTTAACACAGCCATGGAAAATGGCCCATTTATAGATGGTACACTATTAAAAATAGTGATTTTCCATAGTTATGTTAGTTTAGCAGAGGGTACTGCTTTCACACCTCAATTTCTCATGGTGAATTCTCCATGTTTACTGGGGAGGAAGCCACGGCCCAGGTTGTTGCTACGGAGCTGCAGGGCATGCGTCAGCGTGTGGTCTCCGAGAGCGGGCGCTTGGACGAGGAGGTCGAACGCACGCGGCAGGAAGTGGCGCGGGAGGCGCAGGTGCCGGGATCCGGAAGTGGAGATCCAGTGGAAGATGTTCCTTATACAAAAAGATGCTAGAAAATGGAAAAGATAAAAACATGTTTCCTGGAAGCTGATGAACTGATTTGTAAGACTTGTTTCTTACTAGCAGAAGCCGCTTTCTGTTTCCTTTGCCCCGGCTAAGATGAGGCTACAGCAACACTTGACATCAACTTGACATCACCTATCATTCTTGAAGGCCACCAGCTTTTTTGGACACCCATGTCTATTGGCCACATATCTTCAATATCCTTTGTAGTTGGTACAGCCCCGCTTTTGTGTTCTTGCTGGTTGAGCCGGAATCTCCCGTCGTCACATTTCGCTGTGTTGCTTCAGTCACCATTTCTGTTCGTCAACGCTTCAGGCTGTATTTGGCTGGTCAGTTTCGGTTCATGTTGCATAGGTCCAACTTTGTCTTATGTATATATATATATATACATAAATATATAATCATATATATATATAGTCTAATTTCAATATCATTACTTCGAACTGCCTAAATTCTTGACAACTAAATCCTTACAACATATCACAACATGTTACGTTCATGTTTAGTGACCCGACAACACATTGGGAAAGATGTTCAAAAACTCGTTTCACTCCCTCATGTTTTGTTATAGTTACCCATCATGGCCTCGTCACCTGGGATGACCGGATCGAGGCCATGCGCGAATTGCGTCAGGCTGAAGGCCGGATCAAAAAGAGATCTTGGCTTTGAAGATGTTTCCCCCAGCAGCCGAGGGATTTGACACAATTAGCGTCATAAGCGAGATCTGCACTGTTTCGAGATTGCGAGATTGCGGACTTGTATGATCATGGACAGAATATATGTCAGAATATATTCCTTGAAAATGCCAGGGTAGGGATCACTCGTCGTAAAGTCATGTTACGTTCAAACCTTGTTTCTGTGGCCCGGTTGAGTGCTTGGCATCGCGTATCTAGTTAATTACACGTTTGGGCCAGTCTTGGCGCAGGTGAGAGGGATCGAAAGACAAAGGTGCTGGAACAACTGTCAAATCAACTGCACCTTGGCAGAATTTCCTTAGGGACGATGGGAAAACCATGAGTGATTGGATATGGGGTACCTTCATGATCGCACTTTCCACTCGGTTGGGTTGCCAGAGTCTATATGATTGGCTGTGAGTATTCAAGGTTTGGTGCGAGCAGCGCTAGGAGTGGGACGAAGATGTAAGATTTGCATAGATGTGTCTGTGTTCAGGTTCTGAGCCAGATTTGACAGTGGCTTGACGCTTGATGCACAAAACCATGCCGCTACCCGTCGCCCAGGCAGCAGGTTCAAGAAGAGAAGGCGGGAAAATACCACTCGCAGCCCGGTGGCCCCCAAGGCTGCAAGATGTATCAAAATGCTACATGTCCGCTTATGGGCAGAAAATCCTATTCAAATATATAACATACATAATTATATCATATATGCATATGTCATATGTCATATGTATGTATATGTCTATCTATGTATGTGTGTATGTCTGTGTAAACTAACCAACAAAACAGTAATAAGAATGTAACAAGAATGTCCCATTGACGTTTTCATGTTTTTTGCCGTTTTTGCTGCCTTCCTCTTGCTGAGTTGCACTTCCTCATCCAGTGCCCGTGGTGCAGCCCCAGTGGGTTCCCCATGTAGCGAGGCTTCAGTGAGCCACGGGTGCCGCCAAGAAGCCGTCACTGCGATGGTCATGGCGCTAGAGGCATGACCGAGATGTCCAAATTGATGGATGATTTCCATGAAAAAAACAATCAATGGATATCCCCAAGAGGAATGTGGATGTTCGAAATGGGAATAGGGGATGCAGCCAACAACAAAAGGATAAAAGATAATCAAAGAGATAAAACATGTTCCTTCTAAAGATGATAGATGTTCCTAGGCGCTTTGTTGAATGTTCAAGCCGGCGATGAATCTGCCGACTGACTAATCATGACTGATTTTGGGATGGGTTGAAACATGTTGGAACTGCTAACGAGCATGTAAGCCTGCAGAATATGATATCACACATTTTTTTACTGACTTAACTATTTGGATGACTTTCTGATTTGGGGGATCATAGTTCATGCTTTGTCTCCATACTTCAGTATAGGTATGCACCAACCATAGTTGGAAAATGACCTCCGTCGTCATGGGGGTATAGTATAGTCCTTATATATGTTTGTATGTTTTTCCATTACATTGTGATTGGGCGAGGGAGATTGTTATTGCTGCAGGAAAGACAGGCGTGTTTGGCCGCATGAGGCCCATTTCAGTTTCTGATCACTGATTTTTTAGTATTTTGATTGATTCTTTGCCCTCGCAATCCCACTGTTTTGTCAATGGCTAACCCAACTTTTTGCCAATCAATTTCTGTGTTTGTTTGGTTTGCAAATCCAATTGTTTCCATGGAAATTCGAATTTGTTCGCTCAAATCGCTGTTTTTGTTTCCACAATTCAGTTACATCCTTATTTCTATAATTGTCCTATTCATAACTTCACATTTTAGTTGCTTTGTGTTGCTTATCTCCCCATTTAACCGACATTCTTCCACTGCTCTTCACACTGGGAGGCCCTGTGGCACCGCTGGCGTCGCAGCGCTTGGCAGCTGACGCTGCGACGATGGCAGGAGGCTCTGCGGGCGCTGCAGCGCAAGGGGCAACGGATTGCGGTGGCAAAGAAGATCTCACTGCTGCCGCTTGGTGCGGATCTCATGGGCATCTTATGGCCAATTATTATTGATTAGTTACAACTGGTTATTTCTATGGGATTATACATTCTATGGGGTTTTGTTAGTATAAGTGGTAAAGGGCTATAACTGTGGGTATATTACAGCAACCACCAGAAAGATCGAAAAGTTTTTGGAGCATGATATAGATTATGGTTGCCTCCTGTTTCCAGATGTCCAACGTTTCTATTTATTTTGGAGGCTGCAAAAAAGGACAGGAGGGGAATATAAATTAGGATATGGTATATATATATATATGTTATGATGATATACAGGATGCATATATATATATACATATATATATAGAAAATTATATATATAATTATATATCATTATAAATATATTTAACTATTTGTGAAATTATTTATATATTATATACATATTATATAGATTAATAAGGCGTATACCTTATCTCATTCCTAAAAAAAGGAAATTAATAGTATATCAAAGGAACATAGTGATTGGGATATGATATGGGCGTGTCTCAAAATTTGGCACCCCAAAACTACATGGTTTATCATCTTTTTATCCATGAAATTGCGATTGTGAGGGCATCCTTCATTTTCAGTCACAGCCATGTGCACATATATATACATATAATTACACATATGTATATATATATACATACATGGGTATAATGATGATATAATGACTGGGTTGTAATGGATGTATACTCGGAATAGAAACTGATGGATACGCATTGGGTATAGTAGGGATATAATGATGTACCCGTAATTGACTATCGGGTTTGATGCATAGTGGTTGGATAAAAAGATGATTTCACCCCTTCAAGAGTGGTGACCCATGGGATATCACCCCTTACAAACCTTGGGCCACTGAAGGAAACCCAAGAGTGCACATTGGCCAACAGCGGGAAAAACCAAAATACATTGGCAAAAGGGGTGTTTGATGTCCTTGAAGATCGACTCAGGGTTGATATGGCGAGGCCCTTATAAAAACAGCCAAAATGATGAACATTTATGTTCATGTTTTTTTTCTCATACGTCCATACATACAGTCATTCGTACATGCACGCATTCGTGCATTCTTGCATTCTTGCATTCTTGTATTCTTACATTCTTACATTCTTACATTCATGCATTCATACATACATATGTGCATTCATTCATATACATATATATATTTATTTATTTATGTTTTCTTTTAAGAAGCCAAAGTCTCATGGTGTTTGTGCAGGTGTGTGGTCTTGTTGGTTTCTTAGGTAGCCATGCATACAGTCATACAAGTCATGCGACTTACATACGCAATGCATTTGGGTATACCTGAAAATGGGATATCCTTTCAAACGGCCATTTCAATGGGGATAATGATGGTTAACTAATAGTTTGGTTTTTCCTTCCTAATTTTTCAGACATGTGTTAACATGTTGTTGGTTATATATATATATACAATTATATATATATAGTTATTATATGCATAATTCCTTATATGTCCATATTTGTTCGTTAAAAAAAAAAAACTATATTTTCAGGGATGGAACCAGTACTAGGAGGGATGATACTCCACTTAAGGTCTAGCTGCCTACTTCTGTGGCGAGAAGTGGTCACATCCTTGGTGGCAGAACGAGAAGCGGTCAAGCATGTGGAAGAACCTTTGGCAGCCAAAACGGATGGAAACTGCACTGGAATGATGCTAAGTAAGAGGATGGAGGAATCCTCCCCAAGTGATTTTATTTCAGGTTATATGGTGAAACATGATAATTTGCCAACTATATGTTATTATATGTATATATCAGTAAATACATATTTTAATTTTATATAAGTATATATACACATATCTCACTATATTCCAATAAATACATGTATTTTTTTAAATATATATATATATATATCAATATATTTGCACATATATATATATATAGTGCACATACAGATCCCCAAGTTCCCTGCCTGGGCCTTAGGAGCTCCAGCGTTTCCACCAGCGCTCCGTGCTGGCCGTGTCTTTCTGCCAGTTGCGCTGTGTGCGCCGTGCGTGGGTGGCCTGGGGATTACACGTCCGAGACTGGGCGATGAGTTGGAAAAAACATGTTTGTTTTGCACTCCAATGACTGAATGAATGAAATGAAAATGACATGAAATGAAATGAATGAAATGAAATGGAATGGAATGGAATGAAATGACTCAATGGTTGATTGATTGAATGAATGAATGCATGATTGCATGAATGAATGATTGAATGAATGAATGATGATATATTGTAATGATCGTAATTGGGGTATGATGGGAATAAAAAATCTGAATAGAAGTGTAGAAACCCATTTAACCATATCTATATCCACCATAGATGTATTCCACCAAGGCTTATCTAACCTTTATAGTTGACATACGTTTGATGCCCAACGTTTGTGAGTGGTGAGTGGGATGGTGTTTCCGGAAGTTTGTGTCCAAGAATGGAAAGATGATTCTAGGTGACTATATTCCGCCCCTATTCATTTCAGATGATAAGATCATCCCAATTTGACATTCAGACTCATATTTCTTTCCAGTTCAGTGCTGCAACCAGCAACCAGGAGAGGTTCAGGGGGAGAAATCGGCCGCTACCTTGGCAGCGAAAACTTCAGCGACTTAGCTCTGCAAAAGCCGAGCTTGGATGTTTTTGGGAATCAAACATGCCTTGCCGGGAAAACCGAATTTCATGGAGAGAGAAATATGTTTTAATGGGATAAACATGGAAAACCATCTACAAATGAGGGATTGTTCATGGCCATGGCCATGTTTGATTTCCTGAGGATTTGCAGGGCACGTTACTTCTCAACGTACTTTTTTGAGAGGAACTTGGATGGTTTGTTTGTCCTAAAAAGGTTTCAATCAGGGTTGATTTCGCAAGGCAGAGCGCAGTCCAATCTAGACTCCTGAGCTCCTGGGAAAAAAGATGTCACAAGCACTAGCTTTCAAGAATCCAGGGTGCTTGGGTGTTCTTGCGATTGTCATTGGACGTCCGAAATTCCATCTTCCAAGAACTCGGTGTGTCGCAGAAAAGGGGAAATGTTCCGTCAACCAATCCCCAGTGTTGATAACAACAAAACGTGGTTCCTGAGTTTCCTTCGTACAATTCTTTTTTTAACATCCGTCGAAAATCTCCGGTGAAATCGGTAGACCTTTCCTCAAATCACAGAGATGCTGCGTCCAAGGCTTTCTTGGCATCCTTGCCCAGCACAGACGCGGCTCCTGCGGAGGAAACCCCTTCTCCAACGCTGATGGATTGTGTGGAAGTGGAGGCGGAGACTTCGGCACCGGTGCCTTGGCAAATGTGAGGTCATGAACAAGACTTCAAGAGGACAGAATATCGCTTGGAAATCAGAGCGAATCAGCATCAATCAGTTATTCTTGGGATACATCCAATGATTTGGATGCCCTTTGGATGACTGAATATTGACAGGAGATGCCGCTACATATTCCACTGTTGCTGCTGTTGTTCTTGCTGCTTATTCTGCTGCTGCTGCTGATGATATTTAGTATTAAATAAATTAATTACCATTATGTAGTCTGATTTTGATTAAATATGCTATGATTATTATGATTATACTGTTAAAAAAACATATGGTTATTCACATGTCATCTATTTTCCAAGGATGTTGATCTATACAGTTTCGTTCCCGCTGCCGTTGCAGGTGCCACGGCGGAGCCGCTCCTGTCCAAAAGTCCTGATGGAGATCGAGAAGCGCGCGGAGGAACGGCGGAAGTCCCAGGAGGAACGCAGCAAACAACGGAAGTTGAAGCAAGATGCAAAGCAAGATGCTTGGATGCAGCTTCTTAGGTCCTGCGTGGTTGTAGAAGTCCTTTTTTAAAAATATAGCGAACTGTAATAATATTGAGATGTGTATATGCATATTTCCTGTGCTCATCTAGTTTGTGTTTCCAATGCGTTTTTTTCTTGATCCTACTTGAAATTGCCAAGAGGAAGAGGTGCAATGACCATGGGATTGCAACCCCACAAAGGTCATGTCGTAGCAAGATGCCTCACTGCTTCGAAACCATCACAATATGGCTCTTCCCCCTTCAAGATAGAAATTATCCTTTCCAAAATTGTGAATATTTGCCCATACTGATGTGCTATAGAGTTAGCTACCATTCCTCATTTCGTTGCCAAATGTATATAAAAATTTAAACATATATATATATATACCTGCACCGCCCAGTGGTACAGATAAATGTGTACTTTTAGGGTGTTTGGTACACTTTTTTGGTAAACGGGCAGATTCTGAAAACAACCTCATTCTGGAGCACATTCTTTAAAAGGTAGCTGTGTGGACATATTTTTCCAAGTGGCTAATAATGTCTATGTTTTGTGCCGTTCAGTTTTTCCAGCCCCTTCCCCACTTGTGCTCAAACATATACGTCCAAATCAGCCCTGTTGGCAAGCATGTGGCTGGGTTTGAAGCCTCGTTGGCCTATATAGTTACTTTCACAATGTGTTTGTTGAAAGATGACATGGGCACAGATGATGTGACCAACATGCAGCTATTAATCTGTGCCAAATATCCCCATACCCCATATATAGCTTTACCATGATTTACTTCAATCAAAAAGCAAGGCTGCTGTGCACGATATTGAAGACGTTCTTGTTTCCATGCATGACTGGATGCATGACTTATTTTTCAGATGGTTGCATCTGATTCCTCCTCCAGGATAAAAATCGGAAAATTTCCGCTCGCTGTGAAATGTTTGAAGCCCTGCCCATGGGTAACTCATGGCACGACGCACAAGTGCTTGATGCATGGGACTATATGTGGAAACACCTCATGGCAAAAGTAGCCGGCCTGTGGCATGGCTGTGCATGACAAAGTTTGACCGTGAACTCTGGGAAACACGGTCAGGTTGACGTTTGCTTGATGAAAAATGGCGCCTTGCATTAGGTCGGTTTTGACATGCATGATGTTGACATTTTGCGCCTGATATTATCCAAGGGTCTTGCGCGAAACGGGCGCGAAAACGCGCAAAACGGGCGCAAAAAGGCGCGAAACGGGCGCGAAAAAAAAAAATGTACCACTTGACCCTCTTGTTTTGACCGTCATGACGTGTCGCGTGTTTTTGAAAACCCTTTTTACGCATGGTCCGAACAGAAGGCATGGTCCGAAGAGAAGGCGCCGCCATGTGGTCTTGAGTTTGTGGGGGGCATGTTGCAGTCTGAGCCTAGCCAGTTCTTCCATCGCACCGTTTAGTTCATGGAATGGCTTCATTTCCGTTTTACTTGGACTCCCGGTGCGCATGTTTCTGGATTTTGCCGCGTGTAGTGTTCATCTTATATATGTTATGTATTTGTATGTTGTGACTGTGGTGTTTTTGTGGTGAATGTTGAATGTTGAACGCCCTGCATGAGGATTCTTCGTGTGAAAAAAACATGCCCGACTGTTGATGTGGTGTTGTGAAAATTGCGCTATAGCTGAAGGTTGTTTGCTGGAGGTATCTTGGCCATTCTTGGCCTATTTTAAACATACGTGATGTTGAGGTGGATACTTTAGATTTACCCTGTCCAAAGCTCGGTTGTTTACATGTGCTGCGATGCAACCCATGTTGTCAGGCGTGGCTGTTCGAGGTCGTATTTGGCATGCTGCACATGCATTAGCGCGTGACAAAAGTGTCCTATCGAGCCTTTGGGGAAAGAATCAGGTTGATTACTATGGAGAGCCACGGAACTTCGGACACCTTTTTTTTTCAGACCCTTAAACGGGCACATTTTTTGAAATCGGGCAGGAAAAAAATGGTACACATTTTTGTGTACCAATGGGAGGTTCAGGTATATATATACTGTGTGTGTGTGTCCATATCTCCATTTGCATCTATAGTGTATATATATATATATATACATACATGCATACTTATTTTATGTTCATACACGTATGTTCATACAACATATCCCAGAATTGGATGATGGAACATATACAGGACCCCCAAAAAGAAGGTCGGTAAAAACCATGGTTTCCCATAGATTTTCCCTTATATAAACCCATCCATTGAAAGTGAAAGCATGTGATATCCACATCTTATCTCCACGTGTCTGGAGAGCTCTTTCCCGCCCAGGAGCTTCCGCTCCCCGGCCCGTCCTCACCACATGGGGCGGATGTCGTGACACCCCAGGGTGACAGCACAGAAGCTGCTGAAGGAGGACGGGTTTACTTACCATTAGGGATATACAACCCGCAAGAATGGTAGAATTACGGTACCATCCGGTCATCAAACGTGGCTGGCTGGGAAATCCACGAACAAAACGGAGGTTTAGTTAGGAAAATCCTCCAACTAAATGGAGGATTTTCCGGCCAGCCACGTTTACCGGAGGCTATCGCTGGTCGTAAATAGCCAGATATCTCATACATATCACATCATATCATACATAGTTAACAATATATTATGGTTTCTATGGTTTATGGTTATTACTGGGAATGCACATCCCGTTTTTAAATTCAACAAACTGTGTGACTGCCATTTTAGGTTCTTCTATGGTGTATGCCCATTTTTTGGAAATGATAGATATAATAGGGATATAATTGGTAGAACATGAGGGTGTAAGTAGAATGGGACATATCATATAAAATCATACATATATATATACATAAAATACACATACTTTTTGTTGCACCAAAATGGCAGCCTTATGGGGAGTTGATGTGACCCAAAATGTAGCCATGGCTGTGGACGGCCGTCTTCGTGGGTTGAAAACGGTGGCCTGGCCGTGGCCATAAAGTTGCCATGGAGGTTAACATTTTTGGGCCTCATGGGCTGATGGATTCACAGATTTTAATACATGTATTATGTATTTATCTATGTGTTTTTTATATTTGAATTTATCTTAGTATTTAGACTTTATACATATTTGATTTTTAATTTAATATTGATATATATATATATATACATACATATATTATTCAGAATGCATGGGCTTGCGGCTTATGTATTTATCTATGTGTTTTTCTTAATATTATGCTGCTTTTTCTGCAGCACTGGCGGGCGCTATTGCTGATCAATTAGCATATGTGACTCGCAAGGGAACCTTCGCTGTCACGCCCTTGGCAAAGCCTGATACAGAAGCATGGCTGCATGAGGCCCTTTTGACATGTACAGTCATTAGGGCGAATGCACACTATATGCCTGATTATCAGGGCTGACTTTTGTACCTTCTAATTAACTACGTTGGCAAGGCAGAGCGTTGCATGGCAGCAAGGATCTTCCTTTTATGCAATGAAGGAACAAATGAAATTTATTAATCCGAAATTATTTGTTTATATATCCATCTATGTATATTTATATCATGATTATCATATATATATATATATCCAAAGTGTTTCATATAGTTTGATTCATATATGTTTTTCTTCGCAGTCCAGTTCTTTAGCATTCCATCGTCTTTTCTTCGCAGGAGGCAGCTCAGCGGCACCGCGGGCACCCAAACCTAAGGCCTTGGTGGAAATGGAGAAGCCACTTGCTTCATTGGAACATATTGGAGCGGTTCAAGGGAATACGTTCCCCTTCAACCGATGGGATTTTTCCGGTGAGGATGGAACGGTTGACTGATCTCCCTAAGATGGCGATAGAGAGAGGAGGAGCTAAAAGTTTTCAACCATATAAGATGAATATATATATATATATATGTATGTATATTCCTAGATGTTGCTGATAGAGGAATATTGATAGCAAAATGTGCTGTAACATATGATCGGGATGATGGTTTTCACAACAATTTGAAACTGGTTGCATATATGCCAGCCCAAAACCATTTCAAACCATATGAGCTACATTTTGGAACCCATTGTGATTATCCAGGAAGCCGTAGTGCCCTTTAATTTCAGGCAACATTGACTTACTAATTAATCCAGTATTTTTTCAGATTTTCAGAAGCGATACACGGCTCATATTGAGCCACACGTCCGTAGCAGCACACCCTAAGCTGGTTACTTATTTCAATGTCGGGGTAAGTCGAAGCCATTGTTCCCGGTTGTCTGCAATTGGTAATAAAATACGAAGAAATCGAGTGGTATCATACGATTGTTTCATGTTCACGGAGGAGAAATGCTTAAGTTCATTAACCCAGTATTTGGCATTTAATTCATGTTCTGGCTGGGACGTCTTGTGCAAAAGTGCCCAAAAAATATTTCAAGGTGCCCAATACATTTTCCAGCGACCTAACACATCAGCGCAGTTACCTAGTCACCACCAGACACGGCACAAGTGGTTCAACCTAAATGTTTGCTGGCATTTGGTGGTAAGACTTCAAGGTTTGGTGCTTCCATCACTACCTTTGCTGAGTTTGTTTGGTAAAACCATGTGAATCCTTCAATATACCTTCCATGATCATAGTCAAAACATCAATATCATCAATTTGCTGAATGTAGAACCTTCAATTTGTGCAGCAAAAACAACAATTTTGCTGGTAAAACTATGTAAATCCTCTATGTTTCTGTGCTTCCGCCGAGGCGGGCAGTGCAGCGGCGCGAGGCACATGAGCTGCGGAGGCAGCGCACGCAGCAGAAGGAGGAGGAGAAGCGACGTAGGCACGACGCTGCGGGGGATTTTGATGAAAACTGGTCAAAACTTATGGAGAACCACTTCTTTTTAATGAGTAAATCATCGTGAATCATCTATAAATTGGCCCTTTTCCATAGCTATGTTCAATAACCAGAGGGTATAGAAAATGGTTCCCTGAAAGTCAAATGATAGATGAGTCACATGATGTGTCCTTTTAGAATCGAATTGTGATATGACGAATTTTACTTACCAGCGGTGATAGTCATTGAGCATCTAACCTTTGGGATTCGGTTGGTGATCCAACGGCACAGTTTTTGTGTTCGCAGCTGTTTTCTTTCATAGTGTTTTCTGAGTTGGGTATTGCATCTGGACTCAGTATTAAGCCGTGCCTCTATTTAAGTCAATTTGTGTTTATCAGTAAGTTTTGGGTTGCCACATGCCACTCGGCCGTAGGATTCTGCCTGGGCTGCACCACCAAACCTCAGTCGTTTTGCAGGTTGGCAGAAGAAGAGCAGAAGCAAAAGGAGGCACCGATGAACACACTGAAACTTGCACTTGAAATACGGGAATCAACGGATTTCTTTGTGCAAATGGTACAAATTAATGGTTACAGGGTTAGTACTCGTACAGTATTAGTAAATACTAGTAATTATACGATTCATACATGCTCATACGCCCCAATGTGGAACTGAGTGCCACGAATCGGCCAGTGGCCGTGTGTCCACAATCATGGATTCTGGTGCCGATGGGATCAAAAGTGCTCAAGCCGGATAACAGGTTCCATTCATGGGTATCAGTCATGTTTTGGGCCCACTGATTCTGTCAATTTAAGGGTTGGCCATCTCATTCTTAGGGTTACTATGGGTTACTGGGATTTGGACCATGCAATAATTACGTATAATGTAAACAACAAAATCTATTCAATCGCTTGTTGTGACATGTTGTGACATATTGTGTACTTTACTTGTTGGTGCAACCCGCATCTTCACAGTATGCTGCTCATTGTCCCATGTTCATTGGTTTGCTTGAATCCTCCAGTTTTGCCGGTTGCCTGGTTACACCGTTACACCCTCAACATTGCTTGTTTAGTTGAAACCCACTTATTAAATTCGTCTATTTTCTGGTTAAAGTCCCAGACTTGCTGGTGAAGTCACTGTATAATTTTATTTCGAAAATTTAAAATAGTTTAAACCACTATAATTATAACCCCAATGTAAGCCATTATAAACTCATCTATTTTTGGTGTTAACTCTCCCAGACTTGGCCACTCAGCGCTGGTTGCAGTTTTTCAGGCGGAAGAGGTCGCCAAGCGCGAGCGGCTTCAGGCGCAAAGGGAGCGCCGGCGCGAGGAGCAACGCATCAAGGCGGCGGGTAGCGAAAGGGTTGGAAAATGGATCGGTTTTGGGGAAAACCCTACAGGAAACCATGTGTTTTTTCCATTTTTTCCCATGGAATATAAGGGGTTCCTGTAAATGTTGGTTTTCCTGTAATTAGGCGTTACTCGAAATTGGACTTAGGAATAGTGTGAGTTTGGCCAAGACAATTGGAAGTGAAGCAGTAAAACGAACGGTTTGAAGCCCATAAACATGAGATTTGAGGAATGACAATTGGAATTGAGCCAGTGAAAAAGGTGTGAAACTGACCGCAAGAAGGGCTGAAGAAAGGCCAGGGGGTGTTCAATGTCAAAACCGCTGAATGAGATGAGGTTACTAAATGTTTCTAGATGTTTCAGAAACACAATTTTTCAGAACATAGTCAGTATGAGGATGCCTCACTGACGCGGGGGCGAAAGCGAAAAACATACCCAACTGATTTCATGACAAGAATTCACCAAATTGGGGCACACCATCAGTACGAAAAATCAGCTGAGTGGCACATGTTCATGACCCTGGAATTCCCTTTGGCCACTGGATTTCACACTATTATTCCCATGCCATTAATATCTTACCATTTACGTCTGAACTTGGGTTACCTCCAAATCCTTATCTTTAGATATATTTGGAGATGTTTATGTAGGTATATCAAATTATAATAAATTATGCAGGTGTAATTATTTCACATCATCCCATTCCTATGGCACTGAGTGCCATAAACCCCCCATTTCCAATTAAGAAACAATGCTTTTTTGGCATTGTTATAATAGACTATAATGTGGGAAACCCAATGCCATAAGCCTGCCATTTGGGGATGGTTTACACCAACCATTTATGGTTTTTGGGACGGCGAATCATTGGTTGTGCCACATTAAATGAGTTGTTGGCTGGTCATGGATCAGTCGAGAGTCGAGAGGCTCAAAAGCTGGTGGCTCAAGCCTTGCGTCGTGACAAGGACGGACCAAAGTGGTGGGAAATGATGAAGGGAAATAATGACCCTTACACCATCCAGGTAGTATTGTTTTTCAATAGATAGATTTTATGGGGTTTATACATCATATACATATATATATATATGTGCACATATATATATATATATATACACCTGATGATTATACATATATTTTATTATATTATGTTATGTTACATTATATTATATTATATATATTATATTAAATTTTAGTTTGTTAATATATTATAACATGTTTTATAATAATATAAAACAACTATAATGTAATATATTTTATTATTATATTATATTATCTTTTAGTTTAGTTTATCATATTACATTATATGTTTTTACATTATTATAGTATATTATTTCATTTTATACTATAATTAATTATGTTATATTATATTATGCTATATTATGTTATATTATGTTATATTATTTTATATTATGTTATATTATGTTAATCTCATCTGCTTTTAGTGGTCGCTATGTTTCCCTTGCCGCACCCATGTGCCATTAGATTTCCCGGGTCTTTAAATCGTCAAACCCCCACAAGTCCTATCTCATCTGCTTTGTAGTGGTCGCTATTCAGCTTTTTCTCATTTTACATCATTTTCCTGTTGTGTCTCCCTTTGTGTCTCTCCGTTGTGTCTCCCCGGGCGGCGTTTGCAACTGCTCACCGTCCAGACCGTTCTGAGCAGTGAAGCTGTGCGGGCGAGCAGTTCCAAGCGCCTCCCCGGTGAGACACAACAGAGAGACATAACGGGTGCCATTAGATTTCCTAGCTCAAATCGTCCAATCTCCACAAATCCTATCTCATCTGCTTTTAGTGGTCGCTATTTTCCCTTCCCGCGCCCGTGTGCCATTAGATTTCCCAGATCAAATCGTCCAATCTCCACAAGTCCTATCTCATCTGCTTTGTAGTGGTCGCTATGTTTCCCTTGCCGCACCCGTGTGCCATTAGATTTCCCAGATCAAATCGTCCAATCTCCACAAATCCTATCTCATCTGCTTTTAGTGGTCGCTATTTTTCCCTTCCCGCACCCATGTGCCATTAGATTTCCCAGATCAAATCGTCCAATCTCCACAAATCCTATCTCATCTGCTTTTAGTGGTCGCTATTTTTCCCTTGCCGCACCCATGTGCCATTAGATTTCCCAGATCAAATCGTCAAATCTCCACAAGTCCTATATATCTCATGTGCTTTGTAGTGGTCGCATTTCAGCTTTTTCTCATTTTACATCATTTTCCTGTTGTGTCTCCCGTTGTGTCTCTCCGTTGTGTCTCCCCGGGGCGGCGTTTGCAACTGCTCACCGTCCAGACCGTTCTGAGCAGTGAAGCTGTGGGGGCGAGCAGTTCCAAGCGCCTCCCCGGTGAGACGCAACGGAGAGACATAACGGGTGCCATTAGATTTCGTAGCTCAAATCGTCCAATCTCCACAAATCCTATCTCATCTGCTTTTAGTGGTCGCTATTTTTCCCTTGCCACACCCATGTGCCATTAGATTTCCCGGGTCTTTAAATCGTCAAATCTCCACAAGTCCTATCTCATCTGCTTTTAGTGGTCGCTATTTTTTCCTTGCCGCACCCATGTGCCATTAGATTTCCCGGGTCTTTAAATCGTCAAACCCCCACAAGTCCTATCTCATCTGCTTTTAGTGGTCGCTATTCAGTTTTTTCTCATTTTACATCATTTTCCTGTTGTGTCTCCCGTTGTGTCTCTCCGTTGTGTCTCCCCGGGGCGGCGTTTGCAACTGCTCACCGTCCAGACCGTTCTGAGCAGTGAAGCTGTGGGGGCGAGCAGTTCCAAGCGCCTCCCCGGTGAGACACAACGGAGAGACATAACGGGTGCCATTAGATTTCGTAGCTCAAATCGTCCAATCTCCACAAATCCTATCTCATCTGCTTTTAGTGGTCGCTATTTTTTCCTTGCCGCACCCATGTGCCATTAGATTTCCCGGGTCTTTAAATCGTCAAACCCCCACAAGTCCTATCTCATCTGCTTTTAGTGGTCGCTATTCAGTTTTTTCTCATTTTACATCATTTTCCTGTTGTGTCTCCCGTTGTGTCTCTCCGTTGTGCCTCCCCGGGGTGGCGATTGCAACTGCTCACCGTCCAGACCGTTCTGAGCAGTGAAGCTGTGGGGGCGAGCAGTTCCAAGCGCCTCCCCGGTGAGACACAACGGAGAGACACAACAGGCGCCATAGATTTCGTAGCTCAAATCGTCCAATCTCCACAAATCCTATCTCATTTGCTTTTAGTGGTCGCAATTTTTCATGAGCACCAATGCCATTCGATTTCCCAAGTCAAATCGTCAAATCTCCACAAGTCCTATCTCATCTGCTTTTAGTGGTCGCTATTTTTCCCTTGCCACACCCATGTGCCAAATGGCTCAGGATAAAACCCATGAGATGGGATTTTTTCATGGGATATAGATGCTACAGTCCCAACACATGTGTTATGTGAACATACCCCAAATCAGCCCTAACTCCTATCTCATGTGTCCAAACTGTAGCCTATAGCATTAAAAACCATAAACCGTGGGAATGTAAAAACTTGATGCAGGTATCCTTCAAATGACTAATAGAACCACATGAGATAGGAGTTTGGCACCTTCAAAGGGCAAAAACAATACTTGACTCATGAGATAGGAAATTAAAAAAAACTGGACCCTCCGACAACTCCTATCTCACCTGTACTGAGTATATATTGATTATAATCTGGTCAAATTATAGCGACGTCACTCGACGTCACCCCCGAATTAGGACCCAACTTTTGGCAATAAGCTTTGGCAAACCTGCTTTGTTGGGGCTTCAAGTAAGAACAAATGCAGCTTTCAGGCTCCATCCATGCACTCGAAAGAGTGGTTGCAGTTGGTGGGTTGCAATAGTCACTGATTTGGTTTCATGGTTTAGCAGCACCTTGGCAGCTTCTTCAACAACAGGAGACACAACAAGCACAGTAGACAGCTGGTTGCTGGGGCGCTTGCAATGACCGGCTCTTCTGTGACTTGTTAGGACTGACACAGCTGCGGTTGTGAAGGGTGAAGCAGTGTCAAGCGCAGAGTTTCTAACCGCATATGTTTTTGAGCTTTTCAGCCCCAGAAAGCTCAAAAACATATGCGATTAGGAATTTGAGGTCATAGCTAATAGCTAATTGATTTTTGAGCCGCTATAACTATAAGTTTCATTCTAAGAACAAACAGCAGAGGAATCGAACCCAAATAACTTGACTTTAAGAGTCTGAAATGCTACCAACTGAGCTATAGAGGGTCTGGTTACACCAACAAAGATGAAAACTAAAAAGCAAGGAGAACGCAGTGCTGTGGCCAGGGATATTAGTGCGGGGTCGAAGACTATAGTGAGCAAGGACACATACGACTCACACACATCCATCTCTCTCTCTCTCTCTCTCTCTCTCCCCCTCTCTCTCTCCGTCTCTTAAGCCAACTTGCGTGAGTTCGATTCCTCTGCTGTTCTTAGTATAGCGGCTCAAAAATCAATTAGCTATTAGCTATGACCTCAAATTTCTAATCGCATATGTTTTTGAGCTTTCTGGGGCTGAAAAACTCAAAAACATATGCGGTTAGAAACTCTGCGCTTGACACTGCTTCACCCTTCACAACCGCAGCTGTGTCAGTCCTAACAAGTCACAGAAGAGCCGGTCATTGCAAGCGCCCCAGCAACCAGCTGTCTACTGTGCTTGTCGTTTCTCCTGTTGTGGAAGAATCTAAGAAGCTGCCAAGGTGCTGCTAAACCATGAAACCAAATCGGCAACTTGAATCTAGAATCTTCAAACGCAGGTAGACAAGGGTACCATGAAGCATGTGCAGGTCACAACGAGTTCGACGATTGTTAATTTCGTAATTTCCCGACGTCAAACTATTTCAGTTTGGAAAGAACGAAATTCGACTCAACTACCGCGAATTATAATGTGGGCGGATTATATTATGTCATATCACGAAAGGTAGCCTAGGCTACCTGAGTTCTATGTACTTTAGTACTAGTTTAGTACTGGGGGAGGTGGGTGCTCCTTTCCCGGAAATTGAGAGCCGAGAGTCACGAACGGAGACTTAGGGGGGGGGGGCCCCCCCCCCATTCGATTCCCCCCTGGTCCGCATCTCTTTCTTTCTTTTTCTCTGACTATGTACTTACCTCCTTATCCATCTATCTATCCATGTATCTATCTATTTAGTTGTCTATATGTATCTATTTATCTATCTATCCTTCTATGTATCTATCTATCTACCTATCGATCTATCTATCTATCTATCTTTATCGATCTATTTAGCTATCGATCTATCTATTTATCGATCGATGCTTCTATCTGTCTATCTATCTATCCATCTATTTGTTTATTTATCTATCTATCTATCTATCTATCTATCTATATCCTTCTATCTCTCTATCTATCTATCTATCTATCTATCTATCCATCTATCTATATATATATATCTATATATCTATTTATCTATCTATCTATCTCTCTATCTTTATATCTATCATACATACATACATACATGCATGCATGCATGCATGCATGCATGCATACATACATACACACAGACATACGCACATACATACATACATACATACACACATACATGCATACATACATACATACGTACACACACATACACACATACGCAGATACGCACATACATACATACATACATACAGACATACATGATGTAACATAACATAACATTATATGACTTAGTGTGAAAAGACATTACATCACATCACATACATACATACATACATACATACATACAGACATACATGATGTAACATAACATAACATTACACGACTTAATGTGACATAACATTACATCACATTACATAACATTACATTCATACATACATACATACATACAGACAGACAGACAGACATATTTACAAACATACATGGATACAAAGGAGTTATCTGGTTAGTGGCCATAGTCAACTGGCCCCATGGTCTGCAACATACACCTAGAATCCTTTCTCGGGCATTGTAGAAAGA